TTGCACTAGCACTATCACTAGAACTAACACAAGACCTAGAACTAGAAACATTCGGATTTAGCCGCACGTCTCTCAAGACGGCTAAACCCGAATGATTCTAGTTCTAGGTCTTGTGTTAGTTGTAGAATTGCACTAGGACTATCACTAGAACTAACACAACACCTAGAACTGGAAACATTCGGATTTAGCCACACGTCTTTCAAGACGGCTAACCCCGAATGATTCTAGTTCTAGGTCTTGTGTTAGTTCTAGTATTGCACTAAGACTATCACTACCGTTGGTACATTCGCCACAAAAGTCGCGATCGGCTCCAAGGGAAACATAAATTTATTCATTTCGCCGACTCGCACCTAGAAGTTTTGCCACACGACGATTTTTTTCGTGGCTTTTAGACTTTAAAAAAAATCCGAGAGTATAATTTTTATACACTACATTTAAATAAAATGAAACGTTTTTTTTTAGTATTTTATTTAAATTTTTATAGGTATCTTGGATTCGTCACAGAGATATTCATATTTTAACGGTTGGAAGTTACACTTATACGAGCGATCAACGTTTCCAAGCGAATCACCATCCCGAAACCGACGACTGGACCCTACAAGTGAAATGGGCGCAGAAAAGGGATGCCGGAATCTACGAATGCCAAATCAGCACCCAACCAGTAAAGAGTTACTTCGTCACTCTGACCGTCGTCGGTGAGTTGAGTTTGACCCGATTTCCGGACGTAATTAGTAGACGACGACGCCGTCACTTTTTTTATCTCTCTCTCGACGTTCCGGTCGACGTTATATCAGCACGACGCCAACTTAATCCGTTCACAATAGGTTCCAAAAAAAAATGGACCAACAACAATACTTGAACCCTAAATTGGCATCGTACCGATATAAATAACTTTCATAAAGGCCGTTCCGAACATGATTAATAATTCTTTTAGGATTTGTCAACGAACACTAGCTCTGACATCTTTCAGGTTTTTCAGAATACGGAGACTACAATGAAACAATGGAACCGAACGATGAGGTGTTTAGTAAAAGAGGTTCATTGAGTGCTTAATTTTATTACGTACTTTTTCTTAATCCCAAAATAAAAAAAAATCCTTACTTTATTATTTGATACTAACAGTTTTATAAAATTTAATATTAATATACCAGAAATTTCATATAACTCGTAATATATAAATGCAGTAACCATAGTTACGAAACTATTATGCACTTGCACTGTCTCACATAAAATGCAACATAGCTTAATAGTACAGGCAATGGGTAGTTTTGTGTTAGTTCTAGTGATAATCTAAGAACTAACACTAGATCTAGAACTAGAAACATTCGGGTTTAGCCGCACGTCTCTCAAGACGGCTAAATCCGAATGATTCTAGTTCTAGATCTTGTGTTAGTTCTAGTGATAATGCTAGTGTAAAAGTAGAACTAACACTAGATCTAGAACTAGAAACATTCGGATTTAGCCGCACGTCTCTCAAGACGGCTAAACCCGAATGATTCTAGTTCTAGGTCTTGTGTTAGTTCTAGTGATAGTGCTAGTGTAAAACTAGAACTAACACTAGACCTAGAACTAGAAACATTCGGATTTAGCCGCACGTCTCTCAAGACGGCTAAACCCGAATGATTCTAGTTCTAGGTCTTGTGTTAGTTCTAGTTTTACACTAAGACTATCACTAGAAGTAACACAAGACCTAGAACTAGAAACATTCGGATTTAGCCGCACGTCTCTTAAGACGGCTAAATCCGAATGATTCTAGTTCTAGATCTTGTGTTAGTTCTAGTGATAATGTTAGTGTAAAAGTAGAACTAACACTAGATCTAGAAGTAGAAACATTCGGATTTAGCCGCACGTCTCTCAAAACGGCTAAATCCGAATGATTCTAGTTCTAGATCTTGTGTTAGTTCTAGTGATAATGCTAGTGTAAAACTAGAACTAACACAAGACCTAGAACTAGAAACATTCGGGTTTAGCCGCACGTCTCTCAAGACGGCTAAACCCGACTGATTCTAGTTCTATGTTTTGTGTTAGTTCTAGTATTGCACTAGGACTATCACTAGAACTAACACAAAACCTAGAACTAGAAACATTCGGCTCTTTCTAGTTCTAGGTCTAGTGTTAGTTCTTGTTTTAGTTCAATAAAAATATAGAACATAGTGATATCTTATTTTAACTAGTACTACCTACCACAATCACTAGAACTAACATAAGACCTACAATCAGAAACATTCGGACATGTTGCATTTTATGTGGGACAAAGTAAGTACTGGAAATATATTTTTGTATATTGCATTTTAAGTGAAATTGATTGCATATTATCATCAAGAAAAAGTAATAAAAATAATAAATAAATATAATAAATATGTTGATCAGTAAAAAGATCGTTTCTGTGAAACGAACGGGAAACGGCACCGACAATATATCCGTGATAAATTACTTGGGCCGTTGACACATCGCGCCAAAAACCTATTCCATGTTTTGAACATTCCGCTCTCATTACGTTGTTATTTCGCGGGCGGGTAATTTCGATTTCTGGTTTCGCTTTATCTTTGTGAACGGTATAAATGTGTACCACTCGGAACGCGATCATTCTCATTACCATATTTTGTTAAGAACACTTTTTCTTGATGACTCAGTAAATACAAAGTTTTGTTTTGGACTGTTTTCATGAAGTTTTTGGCGTGTTTTTTTTAATAATAATAAAAATTTAAAAAAAATAAAAAATTTTTGGTTATATTTTAGTACCGACTGCGGCCATCCTGGGCGGACCTGATTTGCACGTTGATAAAGGAAGCACGATAAACTTGACGTGCGCGATCCGGTTCAGCCCTGAGCCGCCTGCGTACATTTTCTGGTACCATCACGACGATGTAAGTACGGCTTGAACAGCACTCAAGGCGATGCCGCCTTATTTTCAGCTTCATAGCATAGCTACATACACACCTTTTATCTTATGTTTGTAGATTTTCTTGAGTATTTATTATAAGTCTGAAACGAACTTCGTAAGTAGACGAGTGCTGATTTTCCAAATTTGCCAAATTTTGCTATTTAGTATATAGATTATAATTTAGTTTTGTAGTAGCCAACATTACTAACTAGCATGGATATTTTAGAAAAATTAATAGATCCAAATTTAGATAATAATTAGTTTTTTTAAACAGTCTCTATACATACAGTGTGTTAATTAATTATCGTACCCGACGAAGTATGCAACCAAATATGCAAATCGCGTATTTCAATACCTATACTGTGATATTAGTTGCATACTTGCAATGATGACGTCGAGTACAATAATTAATTAATACACTATATATATTTATTATATATATATTAGTATAGAGACTATTTATTGAAAATGCTGATCACGCTAAGACAATTTTGTTTTAGGTGATCAGTTATGATTCAAGTCGCGGTGGCGTGAGCGTTATAACAGAAAAAGGTGACATCACGACAAGTTTCCTGCTAATTCAGCACGCGGACATCGCGGATTCGGGCAAATATTCCTGCAGTCCTTCGAACGCAGACGTAGCCAGCGTAAGAGTGCACGTGCTCAATGGTAAGGGTTTGAAGAAGTACTTACATCGTCGTGGATTTCCCTTCTTTCCTTTTTTTTCGAAGTCACCATTTTTAGTAAAGAAATGGGAAACGCTCCAAGTATATTGGAATAGTTTTTAAAGCGTCAAAAATAATGAAGTAATGTGCGGAAATAAATGTCCGTCGGAGATTTGTGGGAAATGGAAATGAGAGTTGAAAGGAAATTAATAAATCTCCATATTGACGAAGTGAAGCGTTTCCCATTTCCTAAAAGCGTACGATCAAAAAGTATGTAATATAATAAACATCGTAGGGGAACATCCTGCGGCAATGCAGACTGGTTCCGCTGGCCTCCCAAACACTTCTGTCACCGTTCTCGCCCTCATCTTCATCATGGTGAGCACAAGGTAGCCAGTAGGTTCAGCATTCGACGCGTAAACGCCATCCAACGGCGATTTACGTATGCAGGGAATTTAGGCAACTGGGACACACTTCAAAAATAAAAAGAAAAAATATCCTTCCGGAAAAAACACTCGAAACCAGTCATATCTTTTCATCAAAAATGAAACTTTTAAGCAACTCTTATTAAGCCCCAAAACAAAAACGTTAAAAGTTACTTAAAAGTTTCACATTTTAAATCCTAATAAACTTCATCAAAATCAAAAATCAAAAAAAAACAAAAAAAAAAGATTTCCTGGGGTTTAATATTGGATTTGAACACCGTCGAAAAAGGCTTCAACAAATTGTTAATCGCGCCCTCTTTCAACGGTGTTCTAACTCGCTTTGGCTATTTCAACTTATTCAGTTCGAGTCTAAAACGGTAACTAGCGTGTAATTCCCCCCATCTATTAGCAAATCGCTCTCCCCTCGAGAAAACGACTTATAACGCCTCCTCGCGGCGAAAGTGTAAACTACTTTCGCACACAAGATGGCGCTAATCCAAAAATATGTATTGTGGAAAAGTTAATTAATATTAATATCAACTAACTAATATAACTATCTTAACTAGATTAAGTTAGATTAGTTAAATCAGTTAGTTAGATTAAAAAAATATATGATTAAGCTTAAAAAAATGGGGCATATCTAAAAAAGATTTAAATTACGATCAAGAATTGTATTGATGACTTGGAAGATTAAAAAATTTATTTTTCAAGCACGGTTACCCGATCAAAATTCCGGGAAATTACTTAACGCTACACTATAATCGATGTATAAATGTTTACGTGACTAAATGTTCGATGTTATAAGTGTTTTACCCCGAATTCAACCTTTAATTTTTTCTATTATTATTCGTTCTCATTTATTTACAACCAATTATTCTAGATTAAGCGTAATATAACGTATATATTTTTTGGTCGGCGTAACTGTGCATTTGAAAAGATAACCGAACCAAAAAACAACAAAAAAACCAAAAAAATTAGATGTAACTCGATGTATCCTATTCTTGGTGTAACCTTTCAACAAGTCGATGTCGTTGTGAACAAATCAAAACCGTCGTCAAGGTTGTGTAGAGTTTAGATGGTAGAGTTGCCAGATAATTATTAAAAAAGTATCTGATAACGCTACATATAGAAATTAACAGATACAAAAAAAGGAACATAGGTAGGGTAGTGTGAATTTGTTTTGATGGGGTCCAACTTTTCTGTGATGCGTAGGGCTTTATAAATTATCGAAGAAATGGTCGAGTAACAAAAAAATATCTAAAAGAAGTTTTCTATTTTATTTCTTTTTTCGGTCGAATCCAACAAGATCGATCACGCCAAGATGTCTGAATACCCTGCTTAAAAAATACATATTAGGGTGATATAATGAAGAGAAAAAATAAAATAATTACGTTGTCACTTTTTTGAGTTGGTTGGATAATATTTGATATTATCGTTGAAAAGTCTATCGATTAGTGTACATATGCGGAAAAAAAGGAAAATAATTCGTTAAGATTTAAGACGTTTTAAATATATTAAAAAGAAAATCTAAAAAAAATAATAATGGATAAAAATGATTTGTTTTTAATCAAAATTTTTTTTCAAAGGAGTCAAGATTAAAAAAACATCAAAAAAATTTAATAAAAAGGCAACAATGTGATGTAGTGCGTAGAGGGGAATTTTTAAGAGACGGTAATTGAGGTGGCGAGGTAAACGAATTTATATATTAAATGTTTTCTCTTTAAAAAAAAATTATCAATGTGGGTAGATTCGATTGTATATATATTTTTAAATAAAATAACGTGGTGTTGAAAAAATTAAAAAAAAATTTTTTGAACATCCCGTATCAAACCAACTTCCCACCCCCATAATATTAAAAAAAATTGTTATTAAAGTATACCAAAAAAAAATTAAAAATAATTTCGAAAGAAAAAATTTAAAAAATATTGTACATACTATTTATTAAAATAAATAATAAGTATTTTGTTATTAATTAATTACTAGTAATAATTTAACTTATTTTCATATTTATATTAGAAAAAAATGTAACATTCGAAACGATTATCACAAAAAAAATCGTTCGTTAGCTCCGAATCGTTTTCCGACTACGTTTTAACAATATATATACATTCCGGTAGTTTTTACGTAGACTTTCACAAAGAAATAAAAAAAATATAAAAAAATAAAACCGTAAGCAATCGTGATGTCATCTATCGTCTGCAAACACGCAGGAATTTAATTAACATTATTTTAATTTTTTAATTTTGAGATGATATCACGACGCTGTGTGTGTTCTATATGTGATTTTTTGTGTACACGAATAACGACGTAGAAGTAGTAGATGTAAATGGGACACGAAAAAAAATTAAGGATTTTCCCGAGAAAATTCTATTGTGGAAATTTAAGGAATTAAAATTAAAAAGAAACTAATGAGTAAATATGTAACGAAATAAGACAAAAAAAAAGAAACAACCCAACCGTTTTAGGTGCATCAAAATTTTTCATGTATACTATACATTGTTTATATGTGAAGATATTAATAAATGTACCAGCAAAGAAATTATTTTTTTTAGTATTATTCTTCCCTCATATTAATCTAACATAAAAAAAGGAAAATAAAAATAATTTTTTTAAAACCATTCCAGAATAATTTATTATCAACATTTTCAACGTTCAATAATCAACATCCAAAAGTACAAAAATAGGTAAATAAATCTAATAATAGCAAGCGAAAAGGCTCAAGTGTAACAAGAATAGCTCAACCAGTAGCGAAGAAAAAATAAATTTTTAAGAAAGCGTCGAAAATATAACGAAAAAACATTTTTTTATTTAATCCAAATCCCTTAGGTTAACGGTTGAAAAATTTTCCGTCTCCAAAAGCTCCATTGGTTCTTCCGGTAACAAGCCCGGCCCTAAAATCATATCTGACGGAACCCCCAAACTTTGAATCGCTTGCTCTAATAAAACGTCCTGATTAATCTTTTCGTTATTTTGAAACGGTAAAGCTCTAGCGCAAGCTTCTTGATCTGGATGGCTTTTATTTAAATGGAGGAAAAGTGCTGATTTTCCCAGGAATGTTGCTGCACAAACTAAACAAATATATATAAAAAAATGTCTTAATTATTTAATTAATTAGTGGATATAAACACATATTCAATAAAGATTTTTAGTTATTTATGAAACAATTCAACAAATTGAGTGTGGCTTATTTTAGAATTAAGTCTTCTTTTATTTACGTTATAAACTGTGCGTGCCACATTAAATATGTAAACGATGTAATAATACCTTTATTGTGCCGTCTACAAATACAAGTAAATTGATGGTTGTATAATATTCTATTATATCAAATATTATTAGTGAAGGAACTTCGAGACAAAGCTCCCCACCAACACAGTCGATTGTGAAAAAGAAAAATCTGAGCCTATAACACCTGATAAACAAAACTGACTTTACCTAACAACTTAAAATTTATGAGCGTTTAGTTACCGGGGAAAAATTTATACAAAGGACGCCGCAAATATCAACATTTTCATATTTACGTATTTTCTCAATATTTATGCATCTGAGAGCAAAAGTGGAAGAGAGCAATATTGTTAAGAATAAAATTTGCTACAACTTTTGTTCTAAAAGTTTTTTTGTTGTATGCTCCAAATCCCGAGTGTTTTATCATGAAAAATGGATTCATTTTGGTCATCTTTGGACATCTCGGAAAGTATCACGAAGAAAACTTATGGGCTTATGAGATTATCAAAATTAGAATTATTATTTTTACAATTTTTCGTGTAGTAATATGTTCGCGTTTCACAAGTTGTTAATGGTATCACTCGAGATTCGGAGCGTTTACCTTGCTTGAAGTTTATGAAGGAAATACTTATGGCTTAAATTAAAAAAAGTTGAGTAACCTTGCTCTAAACCGTTCAGGAGTGAAACTTGATTCAATTTCTGCAGCAAAGATAATGATAATAACAATGAGTGATTCAAACGATGAAGACGTAGGAGAGTTAAAAGCAACTGAGTCTTCTTACAGTTAAAAGCTAAACTCGCTTTAGAATGGTGTCCCAGACTAAAAGTGACTAAAAGGGTAGGTACTATTTAGCGACTCGCAAAATTGCAGCCGCAAAGGATAATCAGCGGGAGTCAGTGCAAAACCATTACTTTTCAATGTGTATCAAACAAAGTTCTGGGAAACTTTGAGGTGAGAAATTTGACGAGTACTAGTTCTTGGATCTGCGTTAACAATTTCTAGAATTTCTTCTGCTCCATTTACTCCATGTCTGTTTAGATAATCTCGACCGACTTCGAACACGTCGGCCGCCCCAAGTATCATGAATAAGTCTTCGAAGTCGGCCGAGATTATTTCTTCCGTAAACTTCAAGCAGCGTAGACTTGGTTCCCGAAAACTACGAATTTACTACATTTTCATATTTTCGTATTTTCTCAATATTAATGCATCTGAGAGCAAAAATGAAAGAGAGCAATATTGTTAAGAATAAAATTTGCGACAACTTTTGTTCTAAAAGTTTCTTTGTAGTATACTTCGAATTCCGAGTGTTTTATCATGAAAAATTGATTAATTTTGTCATTTTGCTCATTTTTGGACATCTCGGCAAGTATCACGAAGAATACTAATGGACTCGCAAAATTCGAGTCTGGGAAACTTCGAATTGGTGAGAAATTTGACGAGGACTAGTACTTGGATCTGCATCAACAATTTCTAGAATTTCTTCTGCTATATTCACTCCATGTCTGTTTGGTCTATCGCCACCATGACCTTTCTTAGGTTGTCTCTCTTCCTGTATGGACTAATCGAAGAAAAGTGTTTTGTGAAGGTATGGAAATCATTCCAAATATAGATGTCTTGCGTGTGCAACATCAACGTTCTATATCTTTGTGATTATTAAGTTGTGGTCAAAACATTATTAATAAAATATCTTCAATTAGGCCCCTAGTGCATACCCTTTTAGTCTGCTCAGTATGTTATAAATCACACTGTATATTTTTTTATTTTTGACTGAAATCATCAGATATCACAAAATCGCATTATTAAGAAATCTTGTTATGTAAATACCCAGCTAAAATAGTTTACCTGTGGACTCTATAATAATAATTTAACAACATTTTGTGTTTATTTCCACTACCAAAGTTTTAATAATTATTTTTATAAAATATTTTATTAAAATAAAATACATACCTTCACATTGATAACTTCTTTGACCAATATGTGTTAAAGTATGTTCTTTAAGATGTTCAGATCTTAAAAATGATTTGTTACATGTACCGATGGTACAATGAAATTTTCGTTCGTTTGTATGTATACTTTGGTGTCGTTTTAATTTGCTAGCGGTTGAAAATGTCCATTTACAATCTTCAAAAGTGCATAAATAGGGTCTTTGACCCGTATGTTTCCTCGAATGTTCTTTCAATCGACAAGGATGTTCAAAAATTTTCCCGCAATTAGGCCATGTACATTTTAATTCACTTTCTTTGTGGTCATGGGTCCTTGTATGTGCGGTTAACGCGTTCGTTAAAAAAAACGATCGATTACAATTTTGAAACGAACATCTAAACGGCGCTTCTGAACGGTCGTGCGTTTTTAAATGCTTCTCGCGATCTCGTACGCTTTGAAATTTTTCTGTACAACTTTCAACGGGACAAGGAAGTTCTGCTGGACGTTCATGAAGTCTTTTATGATTATTTAAGTTATAAATCGTCGTGAAACGTCTTAAACAACCATCGATTGGACAAACAAAGTCTTTGCGCTTTTCGTGAGTGGTTTGATGCCGCTTTAATTTGCAGTGAGTGTAAAATGCCCAAGTACAATCGGGGTAATCACATTGATAGGGTTTGTATCCAATGTGGACGAGAGCGTGGAGTTTAGCAGTCCCGATTCTTGAAAACGCTTGGTTACAAATATTTTGGGGACACAAAAAGATTCGGATTCCCATTTCGGTGAGTAAACAAGGTATAAATAAATTAGGGATTTCGTTTATCGAAATTTTTGTTACTTCAATAACACTTTGGCGCTCCTTTTCTTTTAAAATAGGGCCACTCATCTCTGATAGAGACGCCAAATACTCGTGCATCACTTCTTTGTTGTTTTTATCAAAAAATTTTACAGATACTTTTGTTCCATTGAAAGAAAAATACACTTCTAAGCCTTTTTTGACGCAACTCTCAACGTTTATGATTTTATCTTGTTTTTGGTTCTTTATATTCTTGATGCCTTTTTTACTTACTTTTAACTGAATGTCTTTCTCGTCGGACGTTATATTCTCGTTATCTTCCGTTAATAAAGTCTCTAAATCGTTTGCTATTAAGTAATGACCATTTTTATTGAGCCAATCTTCTAAATTTTCGGTTTGTTCCAATATTGGAGATCCAATAAATATGCAGTCATCTGATAATGTTTGAATTGATAAATCTTCTGCCATTTTCGTTTAATTTATTTAATTTGTTAACTTTTCTTCATTATAGCCAATTATGACAGGTAACCTTAAAATGACAGTAATAACAGTTATTGATTCTTAGATTTTAGCGCCATCTCTTAGATGCTTTAGATACTCTTTATTTTTATTTAAATTAATTTAAATCAATTAAAAATTAATAATATAAGAATAAATTTATTAGCAACCTTGATAACAGGTTGCTTATTATCGGGGTAATCTTATTACGGGATAATTTAATTGAATATAAAAAGAAATCAAAAAAGTATGTCATTAATACAGCGCCATCTAGTTTTCTAAATTTCTTTCTGTTAGTTTTGCCACAAAAACAAAACAACATAACCTCGAAAATGGATCCTGGAAACGAATGGAAATCGGAATACTTAAAGGTAAAAAACTTTATTACAAAATAATTTATTAATTATCAAAATAGTAAATAAATAAATAAAACTGCTTTTCTTGCAATTAATTTCTTTATTTTAACGGGACCGGTTTCGACTAGTTATACCCAAGGTCTGTTGAGTGTATGTAAATGTTAATTCTAGTGACATTGCAAGTGTAAAACTAGAACTAACACTATACCTAGAACTAGAATCATTCGGGTTTAGCCGCACGTCTCTAAAGACGGCTAAACCCGAATGATCCTATTTCTAGGTATAGAGTGAATGTTAGTTCTAGTGATATTGCAAGTGTAAAACTAGAACTAACACTATACCTAGAACTAGAATCATTCGGGTTTAGCCGCACGTCTCTAAAGACGGCTAAACCCGAATGATTCTAGTTGTAGGTATAGTGTTAGTTCTGTTTTTACACCAGCACTGTTACTATATAAAACTAACACTATACTTGGAACTAGAATCATTTGGGTTTAGCCGCACGTCTCTAAAGACGGCTAAACCCGAATGATTATAGTTCTAGGTATAGTGTGAATGTTAGTTCAAGGGATATTGCAAGTGTAAAACTAGAACTAACACTATACCTAGAACTAGAATCATTTGGGTTTAGCCGCACGTCTATAAAGACGGCTAAACCCGAATGATTCTAGTTCTAGGTATAGTGTGAATGTTAGTTCTAGTGATATTCCAACTGTAAAACTAGAACTAACACTATACCGAGAACTAGAATCATTCGGGTTTAGCCGCACGTCTCTAAAGACGGCTAAACCCGAATGATTCTAGTTCTAAGTATAGTGTTAGTTCTAGTATTAATCTAGTTTTATTTGTACGGACACTGCGTTCCTCGTATTGATCCGTTATATCGAGGTTTTACTGTAATGTCAAATTGTATTAACATAGTAAGTAGGTACGCTCTGGTTACTATGGAAATATATTTTTGTGTATTGCATCTTATGCGAAATTCACTGTAAAAAATATAATAAATAAAAAATATATAATATAAATACTTTATTTTAAAGTGTTCTTCATATGTTTATTCTTTGTGTTGACATTTTTACTATAAACAGTTTTTATTGACCATTCGGCTGAAGATGACTAAGTTAAATTATAACCAGTCGAAACCGGTCCCCTTAAAATAACGAAATTAATTGATGAAAATGTATATCAACAGTTATAATTTATTAATTAATAATGATGATTCCAGGATAATTTCGCGGTTAACGCAACTTTATCAAAATGTACCCAAAAGAAAGATTTAAACGAAGTCACGGAGAACTTAAAATTGTACGCCTCAGAACTCCACGAATCAATGACTGAAATATTAAAAGAAGAAACGGAACCGATCGTAATTTTAGCCCAAGCACTAAGCGGGCTTAGTTTATACTTAAACAAATTAACGATTCCTTTGACGCAATTCCGCGAAGAGATCTTCGGGCTATTCGAGTTAATATCCGTAACAGAAAATATTTGCAAACAACACCTAATTAAATCAAAGCATCTCCACACTGACCAACACTACACATCATTAATATCCTCAATAAGTAATATAGCGGAATACGTTGAGGCGATCGTGCAAAAGCAAATCGAGGATTCCGGAATTGATTTGCAATTATTTGAGCGCGCGATTGATGAGTATTCGATAAATGTTAACCATTTAAAAGCGTCTAAAACCACGGATACAACCGAGAATATTATAAACCCATCTCTTGAGGAGAAATTAAAAATTCTCACCGATAACAAATTTATTCAAGGTATCAAAAATCGCGATGAAAAAACTGTTTATTCATGTTTAAGAGCCTACGTTAGTTTAAACAGACAAGAAGATGCGGAATTGTTGTATAAAACAACATTCGTTGATCCCGTTTTGAGTCAAATATTTAATTTAAAAAATTTAGAGAATCACAATTTCGATTTAAACGAACTTTACAAGGAAAGCGAAGCGTTTAAAACCAAAGAGATGTCGTTTTTATTCAACATTTTAGATAAAAACAACGATTTAAAAGGATTTAACTTCACAATAAACTCCTATTGGAAATCAGCCGATCGTTTATTACGAGACAATTTAAGTCAAACAACATCATCGGGAAATCCTGAATTGTTTCAAAAACGTTTTCAGGCAACATTTAATTTTTTAACATCGATAAACTTTACGTTAAAAGATGCGTCATTTCACGATCACATGAAACGATTTAATTTAGCCGTTTACTTTGAAATACGTCACCAACAAATTTCAGCGAGTTTTGAAAAAGATTTGGTTGAAAATGAGAGTTTAAATGAAAGTCTAAATACAGGGGCGGACACTGAATTAAAATTAAAAGCAACCTTGGCTTTTTGGAGGTCAATTAATCATTGTTTTCATCCTGATATATATTTAAACCACCTTTGTGACCAATTTTTTAAACTTTCAATGTTATTGCAAGGAAGATATTTAAAATATATAAACGTGATGGCTGAGAAATCGGTTAAAGAAGCTGGTTCAGAAGAATTTTTAATAAATTGCCTTTTAGATATAAAGTTGTTGAAAAAACTTTTGGGCGAAGAAATAAAAGACAACTTAAAAGAAAGTATTTATAAGATAGTGCATAAAAATTTTGAAGCTTTAATTAAAAAAGCCGTTGTTTGTAACGAAAAGATATTCAACAATACTTACGACAACGTAGTTAACCAACTAATTAATATAAACATTGAAAAAGGAAAGATTTTATTGCAACAAGTTGGGTCGATCCCTAGATTATACAGAAGAACTAATAAAAGCGCTCCAACCGAACCTAGTTCATACGTTTTAGAAATTGTCAAACCAATCGTAACATTCCACAACAATTATATCGATATATTAAAAGACGATGTTCTTAAAATCAGCAACATTTCAGTTGATAAAATCGCCAAACAGTATTTAACCGTTATCCAAGATGTATTACACTCAATTTGCAAAACCGAAGAATCATTGAGGCGTTTAAAAAGTCGGAATATTTCAGTCGAAACGTCCCAAAATGTTGATTTAACTTCAGATGAAGCTAAAATACGGGAACAAATTCGATTAGATGTAGCTTATTTCCTTTCAATTGTAAGTATAAATTTTTTTATTAAAACTAAATATAATTTAATTAAAAAATTTTAATTTTAGCTAGGAAAATTAGTTTTTGATCCAGAAAATGATACATTAAAGGCTTTAAAAAAGGAGAGTGATTGTAGGTCTTAAGAGAAATGTATTTAAAAGTTTGATTTTTGTTGTTTATTTAAAAAAAAAAATATTTTGTATTGTTTAAAAATGTTTGATTATGTATTATTTTTGTTTAAAATAATGAAATAAAGGTATAAAAAGTAATTTTTATTGTTATTATATAATTGTTATAACTATTGTCTATTATTGTTTTAACTAATTGTCTGTTCTCCCTGCGTTGACTTGTTGAATGTTGTTGAAATGTCAGAATCCTGCATCTCTTACTACCTCTTCCAGGACAATGTTAAAGAGCAAATATGAAATTATCTTGATCTCCGATTGTTATGGCTTTACAGGAAACCTTCCTGAGTGTTAAATGTATCATTGATCTCCGACGTGAACTAAGACTTTCAGGACCAGAACCGCACTAACACGCATACAGCTATCGAATCCATCCTGGAAACAAGAGGAAATCTGTGCTACCATTTTAACCTCTAAAATAACACCTCGTCCATATTAGACAAGCTGAGGATCAAACTTGTCGACTTTGCAAAGACGAGTCAGAAACGGCTAAACATATACCAAAGGTATATGTGGTTGCCAGAGGTCGCCTAAGACACAAAATATGTTACAATAGATCTTATAAGTCGTGGTGACGAGAAGGGCCGCTGCAATAATAATAATTGGCGGCAAAAAGTAGAGGTTCGGTCAACTTTATTGGCGCTATAATTACTGGCGCCAATGGATTTTTCCTATTTCCACATGCATAAACTGGCGCCAGTAATAGATGCATGTGGAAACTTACTTAAGATTGGATTTAGAGATTGGAGGATACCTACATAGAATAAGGATGAATGGAGCAGGAAACTTTGGAAGGCCAAGACACGCACAGGTTTGTAGCGCCATAGATGATGTCTGCCTTTAATTTAAGAATAAATTTATGTCAAAAAAAATCAGATAATGCTAGAATTAACTGAAGATTACTTCAAATTTTATTTTTCATTAATAATTTGATTTCATCTTGTTTCATCTGATTCATAATATATTTTGAAAGCAATTTTTTGTACAAAAACAATCGTGGCGAAAGCGTTGTTTTTATTATTATAAAATTATAAAAGAAAATAAACATTAAAACAACTTGAGTAATCCTTTGTTTAATTTTTTTAATAATGTAATAGTGTTTACATAAAATCCTTCTGGAACCAATGTATTGATTTAATAATTTTTATCAGCATTGTTTTTGTTTAAAAAATAAAAGATACGATTTGAAGATAAATCGTATCATTTGACCTTGTGGTCATTACAGTGTAGCTTTTAAATTTTGTTATAAAAATGATTTGATTTTATTGTTGCATTATTCAGCGTGAATGCATTGCTATAAAAATAATACACCTACTAATAAAATGATTCACAAACAAGGATATTTTTCCATCCATTGTCCATTTATTTTTGTTACCCTGACAAAAATACTTATCTCGCGAGGAGTAGGGGAAAAAGGAGGGATCTAAAATTTACTTTTACTTTTGTTCGTCTTGTTTACAGTAAAAGTTATATTGCGTACAGACAAATATCATCTCTACGTTTTAATTTGTACGTCAGCCAACATGTCGACTTGATCGTGGTTTGCGATTGGTGGATTCGATCACGTGGGCAACAACGTCAAGGAAACAAACAAAGAAGGATTCCGGACTGGTTCATTCGCTACTCGTCACGTATGCTCTGCCGTTGTCTGCAAAAAAATCTAAAGAAATACGTGACTTTCGTCAACCAGCAATCAGTTTTCAAGCGATTTCCAATCGTTGTACCAACGAAACCGGATAATTAGCACGATGTCATCGTCAAAATCAAGTGTGGACGATATCTTAGGAGGTAAAACGCCGAACTCAATTTATTTTTTTCATTGTTTACATACCATCTGGTGCGACATTTTCAGTCAAATACGTTTCAAAAATACACGTACACAACTACGCACAATTTTTAATACCTTTTTTTTTACTTTTCCATTTTCACATTATTTTTTTTGTTTCACAAATTTACTTTAGACAATTCTTCAGAGTCTTGGGTTCATATCGGATCCAGTTGCGGTTCTCAAGGTGGCGGAACCCCAGGATCTGTAACTCCTCAACTCAACCCAGAGGAGTACATCCGGCTTCTTCGTGAAGCTCAAAGGGAATCCAATTCATCATCTGCACGCGTCTCGCCACGCAGTAGTCCTAAATCACCTCCAAACAGCCCAGTTCAAGGAACTCCACTTATTATGGAATGGCAATCCTATTATCTTAACACTGAAATTAAAGATGTATGTATACATATAGCTTTAAATCCAAAATTTTGTTGTTATTTTTATTTTGTGTAGGATCCAGAAATTTTTTGTGATTGGAGTAGCCGTCCTGATCAACAACCACCAAAAAATTGGACATTTAGAACACCAAAAGCTGATGTTTTGAGTTTACGTTATGCCAAAGTGGGTAATGATAGCGTATTTTCTCGTCGAGGTCTCTGCACGTTATTCCTCACGAATTTGCTGTCATTGCTGTTGGGTACTGGTGTAGGATTGTGGTTGAGCAAATACGGCTTTTTTGTGCCAGCTGTAAAGGTCCGTTAAATAGATGTGGGTTTTTTTGTGGGGGTCGGAAATGGGAGGACTGTTGCCGTTTTTTTATATACGCCTATGTGATTATTTGTAGTTATGGCTTGTGACTGTTGCCTTGTGAGGAAACGGGGATTTTCTACTCATGGTCATAATGAATATTGCTTTATTTTATACTCCTTAAAAAATGATTTCGTTTCCGTTTTCTTTTAAGAGTTAAGTTATAAAAGTATATATATTAAAATATAAACAAAAAAATAATATATGTATAAATATTTGCCCGACGTATGAATAAATATATATGTATATTCATATTGTTTCGTTAATGTTTTCGTAACGAAATGGAATGGATAATATTTTTTAATATTTGTATTATATTTAGGTTTTTTTTGTTGTATCATAGTAATGGAAGTTAAAAGTTTATAAAATCAAGACGTTTCAAATAATTTGTAGACTTAGATTATTGTACCTATCTTTAAAGAAATCTCAAGTAAAAAATTTTCTAATTCCAATCATCTTTTCATTTCTATTAACCCCTTTTATTGATTAAAAAAAAACAATTCATTTCTTTTTACAAGAAAATTTTAATTTAAAATTAGTATCACAAAAATTAGTCTGTCAGGTACATGTCAGAAAGTATAAATCTTTTTTTTAAGGCACATTAACGTATTGAACACAATACTGGAATTTTTTACACAAAGATGTGTATCACACAAGTCCAGAACATTTAACTGCAAAGCAAAAAATATATTTTTTTAAGTAAATTTATTGGCTACATAGCTGCGGGCGGAGGAACCTTCTTCATTGCACGTTTGAAACCTTCAATAATACAGTTTCTGAAAGAAAAAGTTAATAAAAATATTTAAATTAATATTTAGAATTTTTTTTTAATTAAATGCATCCATTATCACTTTATTTTTGAACAAAAGTTGTAGCAAATTTCATTCTTAACAATATTGCTCTTAATCACTTTTGCTCTCAGATGCATAAATATCCAGAAAAATACGAAAATTTGCTGAATTTGTATTTTTACAATGGTGTCACTCGGGATTCGGGGCGTGGGAAGAAGCCTATTCTGCTTGAAGTTTAAGGAAGAAATAATCTCTCGCCATAAGTATTGTGCGTAATACTTGAGGCGGCCGACGTCTTCGAAGTCGGCCGAGATTATTTCTACCATAAACGTATTAATGGTATCACTCGGGATTCGGAGCGTGAAACCAAGTCTACCTTGCTCCAAATTTATGGAAGAGACCGACTTCGAAGACGTCGGTCCCAACACATTTAGTTCATGACAGTTGGGGCGGCCGACGTCTTCGAAGTCGGCCGAGATTATTTCTTATATCACGAATTTCATGATAAAACACTCAGGATTCGAAGCATACTACAAAAAATCTTTTAGAACAAAAGTTGTGGCAAATTTTATTCTTAACAATATAGTTCTGTCTCACTTTTTCTCTCAGATGCATAAATATCGAGAAAAATATGAAAATTTGCTGATTAATAATAATAATAATAGTTTTATTGAATAAGTATGATTATACATTACTCTCGTCAATAATATACAGATCGTAAGACACAAGATATTACATATCCTTCCTTACAACCCATTCACAACCCAGTATTTATATATTAGGAACGTTCTTGTCTGCAAGGTATTCCTCAGTTGAATACAAATTTGCGTAGTTTTACAAGTTATTAATGGTATCACTCGGAATTCGAAGTGTGAAACCAAGTCTACCTTGCTCGAAATGTATGGAAGAGATAATCTCGGCCGACTTCGAAGACGTCGGCCGTCCTAAATATTGATTATGACACTTGGGGCGGCCGACGTCTTCGAAGTCGGCCGAGATTATTTCTTCCATAAACTTGTTAATGGTATCACTCGGAATTCGGAGCGTGAAACCAAGTTCAACTTGCTCAAAATTTATGGAAGAGACAATCTCGGCCGACTTCGAAAACTTCGGCCGCCCTAAATATTGCTGAATACTGCTTCTAAGCGACTACTTAGCACTAGATACTCCTTAAAGATGACTAAAGAAACAGTGATCACACAAAATGTTGTTAATTTTTAAAATTTTAGGATTAGAAATGCTGTAGATGACATTCCAAGAGACAAAAATGATTTATTAATGATTTTTTTTACCGGAATATATCCAAGTGATATAAATAAGCACCAACATGTCCGCAATCAAGATAACGAACGGTACATCCGGGCCAAACTTCTTCAAGCGCACTGACACCCTGTTTTGGAACATACGCATCTTGTGTAGCACAGATTGCGATGATCAGTGAGGTATCAACGGGTACATCAAAGTTTTTCAAATGAGTGCATTCATCCATTAGGCCTCTCATGAACCAAACCGCTTCCTTATCGCGGACTTTCACTTCCTGTAGATTGTTAGACACGATGGTAATCAGATGTTTCAGGCTAGAATTGAGCGCTCTGGCGATTGCGTCAACCGGCAAAATTAGGCTCGGTGATGACACTTTGGTTCTGTGCGCTTCGTAACCAGCTTGTCTGGTTTTCGAGACTAGCTCATAAGGCGTGATGTAACATAACTCCGCTTTGTGTTGTTCTTGTATTATGGATTTTATTATGTAGTTGAATTCTAAGTTTAAAAAGATAAGAATATAAATGTTATGAAAATTTGAGTTAAAAGTTGAAATTACCAGGTATTTGCGCGAGTCCGCAAGAACAAGCGTCATCGACAATTTTACACATTTTGGCTAATACATCAAAATATTTGTTGTTAGAAAAGTACTGCTTTTGTAGGTGGTCCCAGTCGATAGCTTGACTCATTACGCCCTAAAAATTTAAATATTAATATTATTTTCATGATATAATTTTTTTTAATAACAATTTATATTTACCTCTGTGAAAACAGATGATGCAGTCGACCAAGAAAGGCAAGGGACGAGTACTATAGGTTTAGGCCAGCTTGTAGCCGCTAAAGAAGCCATCTACAATACAAAATAAATACCCCCAAACGTGATCTAGTCCTGAATTTTACCTTTTGGTACGTAGTCGGTATTCGCAACGAATCCAATCCGAAACCGGAATGGACACACTCGCGCGAACTTTGAGTAACAAACAAAAACATTAAGATAACTTACGTGACCTCCCATTGACAGTCCCGTTACGCCCAATGGGCCGTAGCCTAAGCGTTCGCACCAATGCATTAAAGCCATGCATTCCAGTATAAGACAACCACCCATTACGAATATATCAGAAACGTTAAATAAGCATGAGCGTACTTGTTCCTTCGGTTTGCGATAACCATAGAATGGATTCTCGAGGATAATTGACCCAATACCTTGTTTTAGAAGTGGTTTTGCCATTATGTGACGACGTTTCCAAAAATACTTGAAAATATTTTTTTAATTAATATTCAAACAAAAATAATATAGCAAAATCTCGATATAATGGACTAATATAGGAAAGATCTTGATCAACACTAACATTAGAACTAACACTAGACCTAGAACTAGAAACATTCGGCTTTAGCCGTCTTAAGAGACGAACGGCTAAATCCGTATGCTTCTAGTTCTAGGTCTTGTGTTAGTTCTAGTGCAATATTAGAACTAACACTACACCAAGAACTAGAAACATTCAGGTTTAGCCGCACGTCTCTCAAGACGGCTAAACCCGAATGATTCTAGTTCTAGGTCTAGTGTCAGTTCTAATGACAAGGCTAGTGCAATACTAGAACTAACACTAGACCGAGAACTAGAATCATTCGGGTTTAGCCATCTTAAGAGACGTGCAGCTAAACCCGAATCTTTCTAGTTCTAGTGTTAGTTCTAGTTTTAGTTCAACAAAAATGAAAAAAATCGTTCTTAATTTATACATCATATAGACAACTTGGGGTATACCCCGAATTTTTATTTGGGGAGTAATAACCAGAGTTAGATTCTATTTATGAGCATTAATATTTATATTTCCATTATTTCCAAAGTCCATTCTAGCAAGCTCTGTTATTTTATTCGCCAAAAATGATTCTTACGTGATCTCCAGTTCCAGCTAAATGAATACAAACTGGACGATAAGGTTCGTGGATCCATTTTTTGGGTACGATCATTTGAAAATAAGCATCTTTCACTTCTTCATGAACAATATCAGGTAATTGTAAGGCAAATGGCGACTTAAACTTGCCATTGGTTACATAGCAATCAGTCCAAGTTTCTTGCTATTAAAACAACACACACAATTAGTATAGCACAATATGGTTAAAAAGATATGGTTATGTAAATCAAAAATAAATGAATAATAATTAATATTTACGCTTAAGACGTCGATCTGGTGATCGCGATCAACTAAACCGAAGCAGGTATCACGGTTAGAAATGATTTTGCGGAATTGCAAAAGTCTGAAATTGAGTGTGTCAAAACATAACCTAAAATATTTTGAAAAATCGATTTTTTTACTTACCTAATTATACGATCGGGGTCTCCCCAACCTTTAGTAAAGAACTTTGAGAGCAACATCTTTCTGTAATAAATATCAAGACGACTCACGGGCATTATTTACGTTGAATTAATGCTTTGACTTTCTGACATAAACGTCCAAGAGGATTTTTGGGTCTAATGATTGTTGTCAACCGGCATTTGTTTTATTTCAAAAATGTAACGGAAAATTATCCACAGCCTACTTTGCGGGATTAACTGTGAATTTGATAATGAATTGATTTAATAACAAATAAACATTTATTTATAATGGTCACCTCCAAATAACAATTTATATTTAGATTAGATATTTTTAACAAGAATAACAAGTTCAAATTAAGTCGCAAATGATCATTTTTAAAATTATCAAATAAAATAACATCAATTATTAGAAATAATGTTTATTATAATATATTTCACCTCACTTTAAATTCAAATAATACACATATTTTCGTAATTTATAAATATAAATGCATAAAACTATAGTATAAGATTATAATGCAAAAATTGTTTTCTTTTAATTTTCGAATTCTTGATGAAATGAGATTAAGCATTTGAGGATTCTTCCTGAACTGAATTTTGGACGTCCGTCATATCTTCATCAGTATTATCAGCGGTGGCGTCTTCTCCATCGTCATTTTCTTCATCTTGATCAGATCCCTCATCATCATCTACCCCATTATCTATACTGTCGGGTAATAAGAAATAAGAAATAGGGTTTATCCATAAATCATCTTTTATAGCTTCAGCTACGTCGTCCGAAACTGGATCTGAATGATCAGTAAACCATGCGAAAAATGTTTTTTGTTCAAACGCTCGTTTACGAGACGTTTTACTTTGGGTGTGTTTATCCTGGGTTAAATTGTAACCGTCTTTCCATTTTATTTCTGTTGATGTAGATATTGGTTCCGCTAAAATAATAAATAATTAAAGATTTATTAATGGAATATACAGATTAACATATGCCAGTGAATTGGCACTCCAAGATAAACAAGATGGAAAGATCACAGCAATGGAAAAATGAAGAAATAAGACTGGGAGTAGATCAAGAGGTGATAATCAGCAAAATAGAGAGAAAGCAACTAATCTGGTATGCCCACATAATTAGAATGGAACATAACACAATAGGAGGAAAGAATAGCAGAAGTTGGGAAGACTCGAGCAGATATAAAGGAATTAGCCAGGAACTGGAGGGGCTGGAAGAAGTCAGGCATAAGGATCAGCAGAATAAAAGATTTATTAATTAATAAAATATTTCTTTTCTTACTTATTGAAGCTAAATGATAATCTTTAGTCAGGACTTGGTTCTCAAAGTAGGGGTTTTCTTCAAAATAAAAATGTATTTTATAACCAGATTTAATATCATCATAATCTTCAATTTCTATTTTTGTCATGTGATGTAAACAGTCTTCATCGGAGTCGCTTAATAAAGCCGATAAGTCTGGATGATTTGCAAACTACATAAAATTAAGAATCACAATACACTACTTGTAATTAAACGTGTTAATAACGAAAATAAAGGATACTGCGGTGACCCAAAAGTGTGGTATTTTATTGATTAAATCATTTCGTTTGGAATACAGTGGATTCCTCAACAAGTTGTATTTTTGTTCGATTTTCAGTATTTCATCACTTGCTTGTGCGTTTAAAGCGTCTATTTCATCTTGACAGGAGTCGACTTCTTCGAGGGCTTTTTGGATTTCCTCGTCGTTGTTGCCCCTTTCGAGACTGTTTTCGTTACTCCCTGTGTCTCCGATTTTTTTCACTTTTCTTTGACTCGACATGTTGCTAATATCCTACTATAAAACACGATTTCGATCTCTAACTGTTAATTTGAACTTTATTTAAACGATTGGACACAAACACGTGCGATTTGTACCTAGAGAGTGCCGGAAAGTGTTAATTCTTGCGCATCTACTACAACTGGTGGTTGTCAGGCAACTTATTATACATCACACAACTTTTTATACCCTTGTTAAAAGAATCAGTTTTGCTGTATAAATGAAGAACGTTACTATAAAAATGAATTTTACCCGAAAATTTTAATACTTTAATTATTAATTTTAAGTTTAGGCAACCCAATTAACATTGTTTTGTCTATAAAAAATTAAAATAAGATAACATTTATATTTAGTATAATTTTAATTGTTTGTTAAACATATGATAAGGTTGTTGTGTGAATAAAAACATAAAGAGATATATAATATAGAACTTTATTGTTATCAATTCAATGATGAATACTCATAAACTTACAATAAATGATTTAACAGATGGATAGAAATAAAATAATGAGCAATAGTGAAACCTCTCAGGACGAGCGTCCAATACTAAAATCGATAGTCCAACATTAAAATAAAAGCTAAGTGCCGTGCCCCATAGTTTGTCCTCCCATTTGACTCCTAGTGGTCGTAGCGTAAAGCTGCTGCTGAAAGTTGTGATATTGCTGTGCGTAGTTAGGGTCGGCGGTCGTCGGGCCGACGAAGGCCGAGTTCTTAAAGCTATTGTTCTGTCCCATCGACGGTGGAAGTGGCTGGCTAGCGTCCGGAGCCATGCCCATGGGGCTGCCCTTCGGGCCGCTAACGAACATCTGAGGATTGGGCTGTCCAGGATTGAACATCCCGTCGGGCGCGCCGCCCGCCGGGCCGTTAAAACCCATCTGCGGCGGCATCCGCATCATGTTCGGTGGCGGCCTCATTCGCATCATGGGCATCATCCCGGGCATACCCATCCCACCCCCCATCATTGGTCCGGCGCCATTCCCTAATGGTCCTCCCATCATTGGACCCGGACCCATCGGTCCATCGCCCATCGGTCCTTCCATGTGGCTCATATGAGGAGCGCCCATAGGGCCACCTTGCATAGGACCATTTGCGGGGCAATTCGGGAAGTACTGCATATTTTGCGTGGGCATTTTATTGTCCATATTAGGGATAGGCGCCGTAAAACGTTGCAAAAAGTCGAGACTAGGAGGCCCTCTCGGGCCGGGAGCGTTGCCGACTTGCGGCTTCGCCGGCAAGTATTGTATCGTATTCGGGGCGCTCGGTTTCACTTGAACGTTCGCTCCGTTGTAAGGGTTAGGACCCGGCGGTCTGCCGATCATTCGAGGCATCGTCATGTGATTAGGAAAGGCACCTGTTAGTTTCGGAGATAGAGAGCGTATCGGCCCCATCGGCGACGGCGAATGAAAACCATGCGCATGCGGCGGCCCTTGCATGGGCATTCCCATCATACCCGCCGGTGGTTGGTCCATCTCGTTCATGCCGTGACAGTTCCCCAGGTCCATCATGTGCATCGACGGCGAACCAAAGTTCATCATTCCCGGCCCTTGGCCGCCCTGTCCGTTTAACGAGCTAGGCACGCTATTTGTCAGCTGCTGGCTCATTTGCGCCAGCGACGAAATCGGGTCGAAATGGGATACCTTTGGGTTTCCCGGCATGGCACTCGTACAGTTCGGGTTCAACGGCACGTTTTCACCCCGCACGCAACCGTAACCCGGCATTTCATGCGGAGGAACGTTAAATGTTCCCATTTTCGATCCTGGAGAAGCGCTCGGACCCGGGAACCTATTCGCATCCATCATATGTGGACTTGGAGTTGGGAACAAATCACTTTTTAACGGATCTGACGTCGGACCTGGCACTGTTTGCGGACTTAATCCCGGTGCCGATCCCGGACCTGGACCGCTAAGTCTTGGCGTTTTATCACCTAATAAAGTATTCTCTTTTAATCGTTAAGTTACAAAAATAAAGAAAATTTTAATAATTTAAGTAACAAGATTTACCTGATGGTGTAGTAGGCGTGTGAGGGCTAGGAATTTGAAATCGGCAACCTTCCGATGTTACACCAGGTGTTGAAGGAAACCTTGGTCCAACATCCATCGATGTCGGCGTGTTGGGACACGAGCCTCGAGTGTGTGGCAAGTCTGGAGTATTGTTAAAGCCACTGTCCATCGTTGTAGGCAGAACCCTGCTTAATATAACCGCATTTTATCATCATACAAGTGGAAGGGGTGATAATAACCTTTTTCTACGAACTACATGGTATCAATTAACAAAGAACAATACATAGATTTTTTTTAGCGAAGGAATGTGATATGTAGTTTCGACGAAATAAAAGAAAAACATGATAGATTAACAAGAAATAGATTGTGTTGTAATACATACGGTGGGGATATCATATTTCCTTCTTTTAAACTGGTATTTGGTTGTTTCTGGATTATAAGTTCTTGTCCTTCAAACGTATTCAAATATTGTATCTGTTGGGGCGATGGCACGGGCATTAGGTTTGGCTCCTTTGAGACGGCAGGGCCTGGTTGCGACGGTGGATGCGATGACGATGTAAGCATTTGTTTTTGTTGGGCTATTGATTGAAGTGTACGACCAAATATTCCATCTACAATAAAAACGAATTAAATTATCGAAAAAATTTTTTTTAAATAATAATTTTTACCTGTATTTTGTTGATGACTGCTTGTAGTGGGTTCGCTAGTACTGCAAGTAACGGTAGGAGAAACATGTGATGAAACGGGTGTCCCAGGATTACTGTGATTTAATCGAGGTGGTTGTGGTGAATCCTGCGACGTAGGGCTCATATGTCTGTTTGGTAAACCAAACGGTCTACTAGGATCCGCGGGCGAATTGAGTCCGGAGGATGCCCTTGGAGAAGGAAGCGAAAGGTTGGAGGTGGGATTGTTGGGAGACGCGGGACTAGGGCTTTGCAACGCGATGGGGACACTGGCAGATCTGGGAGTTTGATGATACGGCGGTGGGGGTCCTTGGAGGCGTGGACCGGTCGTCGTTGAAGGACCTCCTCCTCTCATTACTTCTCTGTGCGGTAATGAGGAAGGATTTGAAGTGTTTGGGGGCGGAATTTGGGTAGGTTTCGATGGTTGAGACGTGGCGGGAGGTTTTTGGTTGTCAAAAAATTGATTTTGGAGTTTTTGCCAGTCGTTGGGAGGTTGCATGTCGAGAACTTCGTTGGCGGGTGTTCCTTCCATATTTTGATCTTCCGGGAAGAGGATCTGGTGGATTTTACGAATGGTGGCTAGTTGTACTTCGCGATGTTGTCTCTGCTGAGGCGTCAGATTTTCGTCAGGCACTTTAACGCCCTGCAATGAGGGCTGTACGTTTGCTAAGGAAGGGGAGCAAGAATCCATGTCCGGAACGTCAGGCAAACCGTTACCAACACCCTCTAAATTTTCGAGGTGATGATTGTTTTTCTGTTCCCAACTGAGTTCGTTTTCGGTTAAAGCAACCATATCTTCTAAACTATCCGTGCCCAGAAAGTTATCGAGGGATGATTGTGTTTTTGGACCTAAACCCGGACTTCTCGTACACCCTTTGTTTTTCATCATAGCGAGATTGTTCAGCCACTGGGCGGGGTTTTGTCTATTAAATTGTGTCGCTTTGAATGGATTCTTTTCTAAATATTTTTTCGTCCCTGGCTGAGCACAGTGGTAGGCAATAATGGAAGGATAACGTCTTTGTAAAACTTCTTCGGCGCCCGAGTTAGCTAACGTTGTTGAGAATACGAATATCTGGCTCTGTTGTTGCATGTATTGCACTTCCATATTGCTGGATTTATTTATTACGTTACTGGCAAGCGGTTGCACTCCGTCGGGAGGCGCTGGGAGTGGTGCGGGGGCTGAGGAAGCAATATTTAATCCAAAAGCGTCTCCGCTTATGGGTGGGATACATTCTTCTGTTTTTAAAGGGATGTTAGGGTTGTCTGTACCGGAAGATGTTTCCTCCTCCGTTTTCCTTTCGTTATGTAACGATCCTGTATTTGTGGAACCAATAATGCCTCCGTTTTTAGTGATTGGTCTTCCTGGTTCTTTTTTAACACCACAACTACTTCCCGTTGGATCATCTTCCTTCTTGACATGAACGTCTGTTCCGGTTGATTCTTTATCGGAACTACCAGGTTCCTCCTTGACGCCGTCCGGTCCCTTCTCAGATTTTTCTTTGATCATTTCACAAAGTATAACTTTACACAGTCAACATGTCAGTGAATCACTTTTATTAAAATTGTTATAAAAGTACAAGTCCTTGACGATTTCAATAATTACCGATACCGTAATGTTCGGGATATAAGGTTACGATTCAATTCCGTAAAATCGTATTCCTTACCACATATGTTCTAATGTTTTTATTTGCATTCCTTCATTTTTTATTTTCATCTCTCTTAACCAAATTTGAACAGACGCACAGAGGATATTGTGCCGTTTAGGTTTGTTTTTCGCGTGGGGACGCGCGCCGAATACGATCGCGCATCGGAAATCCTACCGTCGACGGTTCTTTTCTCTTTTAAAATCGTCTCCTACATGATAATAAAAACTTTTAATAAAAATCTCACATCACAAAATGCCAAACTGTCCACACGCGTTGCTACCAACGTTACACCAAAATACCTATGCGGAGAAATACTAAATGTTACTATATTCGCTACTATTTTTTACGTCTAAAGACCGATTCACACGATCGTTTACTTTACGTTTATAAACACATTCAAATTTACTTTATTTCATCTTCTCATCTTTCTTTATTCACTAATTTTTATTATTATACTATTATTATTTAACTCACTATTTTTATTTTACCTACTTCTATTTAAATTCCAAAGATGTCGCTCTTACATAACTTTATAATAACGTGACGTCACGTCTACCACATTCTAATTACTTTCAAACTTTTATATTATTAATCTTGTCTCAATTTCTCTTCATTTGTTCAGAGATCTATTCAAAATTGTTTCTGGCATCAACCTCACACCTCCTAAGCTGACAGAAAACTCAGTGTCAGGCTTTTTTTATGTAATAATAATAAATTTAGAAGTACAGGACGTGGTGAGATTGGCGAAGTCGGTAATGAAGAGACACAAAGCTGGAAACTGAGTATTAATTGTTTTATAAATATAGATTTTTGTTTTAGCCGCGGAAAACACAACGATGTGGTGTTACCATCACTGTCTGTGAGATAAGTCGTTTCATGATGAAGATCTATCATTAATTTGTTCAGAGATGTATTCAAAAGGTTTCTGGCAGCAATCTCACACCCCCTAAATATGAGCAGTTTGTCTTGAATTTGTCTTAATTTGTCAAGTTGTTCAGGGATGTATTAAAAATTGTTTCTGGCAGCAACCTCACACCCCCTAAGCTGACAGAAAACTCAGTGTCAGGTTTTTTTGATCCTAGATAAAATTGAAAATGCGGAGAAGGAATGATTCAAAATAGGTCTAAAATAATAAATTAAGTATTAATTGTTTTATAAATATAGATTTTTGTTTTAGCCGCGGAAAACACAACGATGTGGTGTTACCATCACTATCTGTGAGATAAGTCGTTTCACGATGAAGATCTATAATTAATTTGTTCAGAGATGTATTCAAAAGGTTTCTGGTAGCAACCTCACACCCCCTAAATATGAGCAATTTGTCAATTTGTTCAGAGATGTATTCAAAATTGTTTCTGGCATCAACCTCACACCCCCTAAGCTGATAGAAAACTCAGTGTCAGGCTTTTTTGATATATATAAAGGAATTAGTAATGAGAAAAATTTTGAAGTACAAGACGTGGTGATATTGGCGAAGTTGGTAATGAAGAGACACAAAGCTGGAAACTAAGTATTAATTGTTTTATAAATATAGATTTTTGTTTTAGCCGCGGAAAACACAACGATGTGGTGTTACCATCACTGTCTGTGAGATAAGTCGTTTCATGATGAAGATCTATCATTAATTTGTTCAGAGATGTATTCAAAAGATTTCTGGTAGCAACCTCACACCCCCTAAATATGAGCAATTTGTCTTAATTTGTCAATTTGTTCAGAGATGTATTCAAAATTGTTTCTGGCATCAACCTCACACCCCCTAAGCTGACAGAAAACTCAGTGTCAGGCTTTTTTGATATATATAAAGGAATTAGTAATGAGAAAAATTTTGAAGTACAAATCGTGGTGAGATTGGCGAAGTCGGTAATGAAGAGACACAAAGCTGGAAACTGAGTATTAATTGTTTTATAAATATAGATTTTTGTTTTAGCCGCGGAAAACACAACGATGTGGTGTTACCATCACTATCTGTGAGATAAGTCGTTTCATGATGAAGATCTATTATTAATTTGTTCAGAGATGTATTCAAAGGATTTCTGGCAGCAACCTCACACCCCCTAAATATGAGGTTGCTCCTAGAAAACTAAAACATTAACAAATACTTCCAGGCAGAAATTTTTGCAATCAACAAAACAAGTCAATTAAGTTACTCTTAAACATCTAATCGACTTTTATCAATACACTGCTAGATATAATCGGAGTAACTGCATTTATTAATATGGGTCAATCAAAGTATACCTTAACGGGTAATATTCTTATCGCAAGAAAGAATGATTCAAAATATATCTAAAATAATAAATGAAGTATTTTTTGTCTGAACGTAAACGTAACGTGTACATAACGTAACTGTTATGATTCACTAAGCTTATAACGTCATCTGAAAAAAAGAGAAAAAAGTCGAATATTTCTTCTGTTCTCCTATATTTATTTATACTCCATAGGTATTTCGATTTGGATCGTGAATAAAAAAACGATCCACAAAACTTGTGTTTGCGGTCTGTATTTAACGTTGTTTTAATTTCTTACATTTCGAATTTATTTCGATTCGAAATCGTTTTATAAACGGGTAGCGATCTCGCTTACATACGCAGTTGTTTATCAGATTATAAATATCATTCGAGTTTTCCCATTCAATAATTTTACTTTTCCCTATCTGTATCGACCGTTTATTTTGATTGTATAATTTTAACTCTCGGCGTCCGAGGTGTATCGTAAATTTATTCTTTAAATAAATTTCGATTTTTTTTAATTTTTTATAAATTTTTTTTTGAATTTAGCGCGTTTTTTGTGGTACCAACTGGAGGTAAAAAAATTTAAATTTCAATTTTTTAATTATTTATTTTGTGTATTAATAATAATTTCTAAGATAACATCATCAATTGAGAAAAATTCGGTGCTGCTGAAATTAACGCCATGTTTCATTTGGTTAATGTCTTTCCATTTTTTATTTATGGGGTAACATGGAAGTGAAATGTTTAAAAATGTTTCATTTTTATGAGACACCTTTAAAACCATGTAGAAAGTGTCGCCATCTTTGTTGTTGTTAACCCAACTCCAAATGTGGAAATTATTTGGTTTTTCGTTTAAAATTTTTACGATAAATATTTTATTAAAATAATTTATAACATAAGTGTTGTTAACATCATGAATATTTTTTGGGAATAATTTAAAGGAGGAATTAAAATATTGGATAAGCGGCCCGGTGTGGTTTATTTGAAAGTGTTCTAAAATTAAATTGGAAGAGTCAATCGGATTCGAGCAACTTTGTTCGAATGGGCAAGAAATAAAGCGGGCTTCATCATCAACTCTGTTAAGGTTTTCGAATGAATTGTGGCAAGATATCGATGATGACGCGCCCAATCGGCTATTTTTATATGACTTTTTAATCGAATTACTTCTTGAAACGGTGGGACTTCCATTAAAAATTTCCGTCGATGATAACGATTTTGTTTTTAAGCTATTATCGCTTAATCCCAAATTGGAACTCGTATTATTTGTTGATAAATTATCAACGGACGATGACTTCCCCACCAGTTTCGCCAAAAATTTGTTTGCGTGAGCGTGAGTAACTTTTATATCAGGAACTTTAATTTCCTTTTTTTGTGGAATTTTAAATATTTGTTGAATTTTATTATTTCGAATGTTTCCGGGTGTTTCTTTCAATTCAAATATTTCCGTAATTACGTTATAAATCTAAAACAAAAGTATTAATAAAAAAAATTAAAAATTTTTTTTAACTTACCTGATCGGCTAATAAAGATCTTCCTCTATTTAAACGATTTCTACAAATTGGGCACCTTTCGGTTTTCGATCTACAACGAATACAAATTAAGTGGCCGTTATCACATTGATACGAAGGTGGTCCTATTGTATCTAAACATATTGGGCATTCTAGAAATCCGAGGATCGATGAAGTACACGCCGTTAATTTTTGAAAATTTCGTGGCATAGGTCCACTACATATCGTCTAAAAAAATTATAAATAATTAATTTAGTATTGAATATACCTTCAAGGTTGCTTTCAAAGTTAAGAAAAAACGAAATGCATTAGCGTTCTGTGAAGGTCGAGTAGGACTATTACGCGGTTTTAAAATTGTTCTTTTCCGTTGCATCTATTGTAAATATCGAGATTATTTATGTAATTCCCACGAAACGATTTTTTTATTTTCCGTTGAAACATCTTCCCCGCGTCATTGTCTTGCGGAGTGTTGAAGCGAGAAGCGACGATGTGGCTTAAACGTAAACAAGATGATGGTATGGCCAAGGCCATCGAAGGTCATCCGATACATTAAATAGAAATCATAAGGTATTCGAACCGAAGACGCTATAACCGGACCTTGTTTTGGAGGTAAAAAAGGAAAAAAGTACCTACCTCTGGGGAACACAAATCGTCTACGCCTGAATTCCAAAGAAAAAGAGTGACGTTGGATGTTTTCTTGACTAAACTGGCGATGTCCGAGATCTTCTGACCGAGAACGTCTTCTCCGTTAACTTCGAGAAGACAATCTCCGTTCATTAAACCCGATTTTTCGGCTGAAGAACCAGGATCTATGGAAGTAATCCAGGGATAGGGATCCCACTTGCTTCTGGTTAAATGAAACCCACAGTTTCCAGTTTCATCTTTTTCTATGAGCACTGATTTAAGGGACGGATGTCGGGCGTCCGCATCAGAGAGCATTTTGCTCCGTTCTGATTGCAGACTTAGCCCGTTCGAACGGAATCAAGGTTCTCAGAAGACTCGTCGGCCTTCCATGGTGTTTAACACATATAGGTTTGCTGCCGCTCCCGCAACCTTGGATCAGTGAAAACAAAACGCTTCGAAAAATAAACTTTATTTAAACACGTAACGCATAATGACACATCCTGACGATCGCCGATTAATAATAAAAAAGTAGCGATACCAATCCGGGATTCGAGGAATTTTCCGGGTATACAATAATGTGGTAATAGGCAGTCGAAGGTCGTTCGCGACAACCACGAATTTAGTTATACATTATTTTTTTGTTAAAAAGTTAAGTCTACAAATTAATATATAACTGTTAACTAAATATCTTACCAAGTAGATATAAAACGAAAAAATTTATTTAAATCACTATAATTTCTGCACTATATCAAACTTTTTCTTAAAGTCCATAGACTCTTTCTTCGGATCGAATTTCTTCTTCGACGCCAACGTGGCCCTCAACTCAGCTGCCGTCATGTTGAGATTAAGGGGACCGTTAGCTTCTTGGTTTCCCTTCTTATTTTCTTCCTTCGGCGATGACTTCTCCGGCGTTTTCGTTACATCAGGTCTATCCTCGTCGTCTGGATCGATTACCAACAACTTCGTTTCGTCTTGTTCGGCCTTAATCGCTTCAACCACCTGTTTGTGCGTCTTATTTGCGATTGGGACACCGTTCACCTCCAAGATTCTGTCGCCTTGTCTTAAGCCGGCTGCTTCAGCCGGAGAATCCTTGTCTACTTTGCCGATATATTGACCCGACTTGCCTTTTTCGGCATGTAAGTTAAAACCGTAACCATCGAAGTGGTCCCGTTTGACGATGTGACACAAGCGCGCGTTATTACCATTTATCTTCGACATCTTCTATTTTTTCAGTTTATTCTTTTTTTTAATAATTTATTGAGGTTGTGTTGAATAATTTTGACCACGTTATGCACCTTTTGGCATGTTTTGATTACACTTGCAGCAGGTGTACTGCTGAATCGACTCACTCCCGGCAGGTAGAAGTGGTAACTGGTCGTGTCGTTTCGGACTGCGTCAGTTTTCTCCTACCACTGTGTTACCGCCGCGGCAGGAAATTACCTTATAACCGAAACTCGTCAATTTTTCCCGTCAAACTTTTATTTAAATATGCCATTTTTTAATAAATTCCATTGTGCGATAAGGAATTATTTATACACGATAAGTTACGCAGTTCGATGCTATCTAAATCTTTTTCAATCCGTAATAAAAAAATTACACTACGGTTTTGAAAAAGTTTCTAATGTTTTGAACAATTCTTTTGAAACGCGAACAATGGTAAATCAGCTTCTGTTTCCTGTTCGTTTTGATAAGAAAATCGTTTCAGGCTTGTTTATGTATGCGTTCAAACCAAGATTGAGGTCACTTCATGCAAAAACATTAATTTGTTTGCCCAAAGTATTTCTTTTACTGTCGCAATAAATTGCTCAACTTTATTAAGATGTTTTCGTTTACTACAAATTGATGTTAATTTATCACAAGACAAAACGTGCAAAGATTAATTTATTTACTGTTCACATTTGTATTCTCACATTTATTACAACCAGATGACTGTCATTTATATTTATCAGTAATTTAGTACGATATTATATCGACCTTATTAGACTTATTATATTATTTATATGGTCATAATAAATTTACTGTTATTGGTATTACGTTAACTCTTGCTTCTTACAAAATTGATTTTGTCACTTCTCACCAATTTGCAACATTTTAATTTAATTTATATGACTCATTCAATTAACAACTTTAAACTGCAATCGAAGCAATATTTCGTTTGCGTTACTTCGTTATAAATTACGAAATTTTATTTAAACTTTGTAAATTTTTTTTTAATATATAATTATTAAGGAATTAGTCAAGGTAAGTAATACTATGTATCCGATGTTTTATGAGACAATTAGATTGCACAACAGGATGTTAGAAGCATTAGATAATCAAACATTATACAGTTGTTCCCTCACATAGAAATTAAGTAAAGATTTTTGCACACTGAACTATTTCACATTCTTTTTGCAAATTGTAATTCGACCAGCTTCATTCCTGATGTTTTCTTGGCTACAGCAAATTTAAACATTTTAAACTTTAACTATTACCAACCCGTTTTGAAAAATAACTTTTAGTTTTTGAGAAAATAATATTTGAAGTTTTGATAAAATTTTCGATGTTGCAATTTTTTTCGATAATTTCGCTATAAAATTAATTTCTTGAAGGATCCTTGTGGAAATATCACCAATTATTAATTAAAGTATCCTCTTTTTAATGCAAAAAGCCGTTTTCAAAAATCACTTTCAGTTTTTGAGAAATAAATTTTTGAAATGATCGACAATTTTTCGAATTTTTCAATTTTCGACGATTAAGTTTTAAAAATTCGTATAAAATCCAGTTCTTGGAATATGAGGTTGAAAATTTCCCAAATGTGTCCTCTTTCCAATGAATCCACCAGTTTTGAAAAATAACTTTTAGTTTTTGAGAAAACAATATTTGAAGTTTTGATAAAATTTTCGATCTTGCAATTTTTTTCGATAATTTCGCTATAAAATTAATTTCTTGAAATATCCTTGTGGAAATATCACCAATTATTAATTAAAGTATCCTCTTTGTAATGCAAAAAGCCGTTTTCAAAAATCACTTTCAGTTCTTGAGAAATAAATTTTTGAAATGATCGACAATTTTTTCGAATTTTTCAATTTTTGACTATTAAGTGTTAAAAATTCGTATAAAATCCATTTCTTGGAATATGAGTATGGAAATTTCCCAAAGTGTTAATAAAAGTGTCCTCTTTCCAATGAACCAACCCGTTTTGAAAAATAACTTTTAGTTTTTGAGAAAATAATATTTGAAGTTTTGATAAAATTTTCGATGTTGCAATTTTCATAGAGAACTTGCAAAATTTGCTATAAAATTAATTTCTTGAAGGATCATTACTCTTTATAGACATTTAAACTTACTAACTCTCTGTTAGTTAGCAGACGATTAGTTAGCACAAGGTTAGTTAGCACAAGGTTAGTTAGCACAAGGTTAGTTAGCAGAAGATTAATTAGCACAATATTAACAATATGTAATATAATATAAAACCGATAATCTACATTTAGTAGATAATCTGAAATAGTAAAAATATATCTCTTTATGACGCATCTCTAAAGAATGCGATATTTAAAATAAAACTTTACAATTAGAGAAGAGAGAGTTAGAAAATACCTTATACCAAGACACAATAAATATATAATTTAAATTCAACCGATGAATTGTCAATGAAATTCCAAAATGATTTTCACTTTTGAACTTGATTTCACGAATTGTTTTTGTCCCATTTCTATGAACGCGTAAACAATTAAATCGAGAAAATTACCGGGAATGTATCGTAATTGAAATTGCATCACGTCAATAAAAATACAATGAAATCATCTATATAACGAACGATTTATTTAAAAAAAAATTATTACATGTACAAAAATAACTGTACTCTTATCGAAGGTATAAACAATAACCAATATATATTATCTTTGGAGTTTAGTGGTAACTTAAGTAACAACACTAAGTACGGATGTTATTATTTTTTTCATTTACTCCTTTTTAAGTTCTTGAAGGGCGGTGTGTATTCTAAAATGTAATCTGGCTTCCAAGAAATACCTGGTAAAATTCTTTTTGGCGTCTTCAAATGCCCCAATAGCTTTTTCAGTGTTGCCTTGATCCCATTCAAGGAGCCCAATTTCAACAACAGCGAATGGGACGGTGTAGGTGTCTTCAACGATGTTCTTTTGTAACGCTAAAACACCTTCCAAAGCTTCTAAAGCTTGTAACGGACTATTAAGTTGTCTTAAACAAGCCCCTTTAAGTAACAATAAAACAGCTTTTTTATCGGTGTCGTATTTATTTTTTCCACCATCCAAGCTTTTTTCGGCAGATTCGATCAATTTAAGAATATTTCCTGCTACTTTTTGATTGCCTTTAAGAATTTTAAACATATTCCAAAGATACATCAATTCTAAGATTGGTACGATGAGGTTGTTTGGGTTGTCTAAGTATCTTTCGGCTTTCTTAACGCAGAATTTCTCTATTGGGATTGATTTTCCCGCGACGCGTTGTTTGTATTTGATGGTTTTCCTATAAATTGATATTAATTAAGTGATTTATTTAAGAATTTTGATTTATTACTTTAATAATTCTTCAATGGTGGCTTTTTGTTGGTCGTTTGGTTTGTTGTTGCACGACATGAGCATGATTGCGAATTTTTGGTAACAATACGATGTCCTTGACCATTTACTCTTCTCGATTAAATAAGTTGTGAATTGTTCGGCTTGGCCCCATTCTTGTTTTAAACTGAAAAGTGATTTAATTAATTAAGTTTTATTTTTATGAAATGAGAAAGTACCAGTTGACCCAAGTTAATTCCCAGTAACAGAAATGGTGGAATTGTTCCCATTTATCTTGGGATTTCCAAGCTTTGGTGTACCATTCTATCGCGCCATCTAAGTTACATTTCATAAACTCCATTCTTCCTTTGAAAAAGTTGAACCAAACGCCGTTTGGGTATTTGGAGGATTGGTTGGCAAGGATTTTTTCGCAAATATCGAATCCGTCGGCGACGTGGACGTCGCTTAAAACGTACATGGTGATGAGGTGGTAGCCCAAAAGCACCATCGCGCAAAGTACTTGGTGAAGACCTTGATTTTCGAAGCCAGATTGGAGATCCGCCAAGCCAAGCTCTTTGTTGCCAGAGAACCCGATGAATTCAAGTAATTTAATAACGCGACCTGGTAACATGGATATCATCAAGTTGAAAGCACCCAAACCGAGTTTAACCCCGCTTTCAAAGTGGACTTTCGTTGGGGAAGATCCCCAATTTTTTTCTTGGAGGATTTGGGAGCAATCCTTCATCGAGTTGAAACACGACCGGATTTTTAAGCCAGCCTTGATGAAGCTGGCTAAAGTTTCATCTTCCATAAAAGTCAACAACGCCTTCAAAAGCAAACATTCTGCGTAACATTGTTCGGCGTGAGCCTCCATTTCGGTGTATTGCTCATAGTTGGTTTTACCCACCATGCTTTTAACCGATTCGCTTATGGTGTTCTTCTTCCTGTAGCGATTACATACACTTAATGTCAATTTCAAAGCATTACTTGCTTCCCCAATGTAGTGAGGATCGAATGTTAACACAGCTTCCAAGAAATAAAATACTGAGTTGCCCAGCGAATGATACAAACTTGAATTAGCACTATTAAAAGATAAAGATAATTATTTTAGGTAAGTTTGGATTTTAAGGTACACTTACTATGGTGTCACCAAACCTCGAGCTTCATCAAACTTATTATTGAAGAAATAATCAATGGCCAATTGAGCTTCTTGCAACGATTTTTCCAGCGTCATATCAGCTGGCCTAATATTGAAAAAATTTAATAAAAAATTAATTATTAAAATAATAAAACTTACATATCATAGGTTTCGCAAGCATCTTGGAACTAAAATATTAAAAAAAAATAATTAAAAATAGAATAGATTCGAAATTAGATTACTAACGTCATCAAAATCATCGTCTTCAACAGCGTACATCTTGTGTTCTTTGGTTTTAACTACAACACGAGAAAATAAATATTATTATTTGATATATATTTATAAAATTAATATTATCGAATCTTACAGCGCATTTTTACAAAATATTAAAACGTTTTTAGAACGAAATGGAAACGAAACAAGCTTCGCGACGACATGAAACTTAAATGTGAAAACGTTCGGTGAAATGTGGAGGAAGGAAAGTAAAGAAAGTCGAGGCTACTAACCTTGTAGACTTCCCGAAGACGAAGCTGCAAATTATTGTTTATTCGCGGAGTTCGAAATGGTTATATACCGCGGTTTGCACTTGAAATGCTATCTTTAATGCGATAACGTTGACCACTTAAATTTTAAATAACATTTAGTGCCTATTTATGGATTATTTAATACATTTCCGTTATTCCCAATTATTTCGCATTAATTATTAAATCACAATTAAATGCGATGCTGAGTGCAAAAACAAAAAGAACTTGAAATTTTTTATATTCGAATACATAATTTATTAAAACAGATAAGTTGAAGTACTTCAACTAATAAATAACACTATGAAGTGGTTTATAGACATCATCACACTCAAGTAAATTAATTGTTTAAGCAAGGTTGTAATTAAAAATAAAAATTTAAATAAAAATCCCAACATATAACTTATATAATCAATATTATTTAATTTAAAAAAAACCATATCAAAAAATAAAGATCAGGACCTCACCTAAATATCTAGATTTAGCAGCGTCGAGTACAAAAATCTTAGACAAGTACACGATACACGATAAGAAATTGCTTACTCATTGTGTGATAAATCTTATGTAAAAATCTAACAGAACTTGACGTATCGATGGACTTATTATCGATAAACAATAACAAATTAAGGAAACCCGGGAATAATTTTACCTTAGAATTTCCACACGAACGAAACGGACGCTGCTACACAACTAAAACCGAATCAATGATTTTTTGTAAAAAAATAACATGTACTGTTTGTAATTAAAATATCAGACGATCCGTGTAGCATAAACATTCCCTCCTCTTTTATTATCAAGTTTTACGTACACAATTTATTACTCATTACGCCTTCCGCCAACTATTAATTTAGCACCATCTGTGAAAAGGAAGTTGAAGTAACAGCGCATGTGCAAAGTATTAAAATAAATTTTTTTTTGAACGGTATTGATTATTGAAATTTTCAAACTATTTTGTAACGCCAATCTCAACTTCGATCTTTCAAAACAAGAAAAAAGTATTTTAGATAAGTTACATCTTCGTTGGAGTCTAACTAATTGTAAGATAAGATAATGCTTAATGGTTCCAGATATTATTAAAACAAATAAATTTGATAATATATATATTTCATTGCCTAAATATTAATTTGGCGCCAAAGTCTTACCGTGTAGCGGGCATCAATACCATGTAAAACGAGTTTAGTCGGTTCCCGCTAAAGATGTGAAATACGCGCAAAACGATTTTAGTCGCTTCCCGCGCAAAACGACTTTAGTCGGTTCCCGCGCAAGATGTGTTAAAATACTATAATATGTAATGTTTTTGGGCAAAGTATAAAGTTTCCAAAAACATGAAACTGTGTTAATTTGTTTGGAATAGGGAAAATAAAACATCGTGAAATTCTATTAAATAAACCCTCTGATTTAATCTTAAAGTAATGTAATACATTCGCCTCTTGTTAAGCTTTTTTTTCTCTACAATATCCGTAATAATAATAACCAACACTACCGACGTGGAAAACACGTCCAACAATTGAGTCAACAATATTATGGCACTGGTTATAATATCACCCGATTCTATAAGTACGTGTTAAAGTAACAAAGTTTTGGATGTTATGTACACTAGAGTAGTAAAAGTACGTGGATGGGGTATGGACCAGAAGAGCAGCCGGAGTTACACCGTTGACCTCCGGAGTGACCCGATAGCAGTACGAGGAGTTAGTCGGGACAGTTGGATCAGCAGAGTGGGTATTTTTTATCAGTCAGGGGCACTCCGTCGACACGTGACTAGAGAAGTGAGAAGATAAAGAAGGTAAGACGAGCGGTTGACCTGAAGGCCGCGCGGTGACCGGACGCGCAGCCCTTTCGCTGCATCTCAACTGCTTTAAAGGTACTCAATCACAGTAGATTTTTGGGCGCCGGGGGGCGCCGACCCGAGACCAACATCCGCCGCTGTGTCCCACGAACGGATGGTCGGCCCGACGCCCCCCTACACGTTCCTTATCGTAGATACGTATATAAATATGTTATATACATATTAGCTATGTATATTTTTGCGCGCCGCGTCGGCGCGTTTGACAATTCTCCCTCCGCAGTATCCTCACGGAGTCTTCCCCGCAGATCCGCACGCAACTCTCAGCGACCGGCCCTTATATATAACCTACACGATGATAGAAAAGAGTTAACGTTATTTTGACCTGAAAAACGTTAAAGATTCGAAAAACTGAAAAGTGCGTAACAACAATTTGGGGTAATCCGATCGTTGAGAGCCGGGGTTGATCGCAAAGGAAGAAGGCACGGGCGAGGATACCGCGGATCCCGTATGAGTATCCATGAGCCGGCGTCGCGCTGTGAGCAAGCTCAATATATACGAAAGTCTCTAACAACTATAGCTACGGTATCAATATTATTGTAATACTAAGGCACAGACCCAGCTCATTGCTTGTACGAGCGGAGGACGCCGCGAGGGGGCGCCGCCGGACGATAAGCGCAGTCGTGGAAGACAAGCACCGCTGGATAATCTACCCAACATAGGAACGGAATTGAAACTACGTGACCGACTCTGTCTCGAAGTCGACATGTACATCGAACGCGCGTCGATTATCGCAATTTCGACCTCGCCGATGGCGGCTGGAGCGTTTGCACAGCCTCGATTGGCACGGAGTCTATGACTAAGACCTACGTTACGCCTACGCGCTACTTGAGCAGCCTCTACGAAACGAAGGAGAACCCAACGGAACCGTCACACGTAAAATCGGCAAGAAGCTGCAGGATCATAAGGCAGTCGAGTCGTTGTCCGAGAACTTTCAAGGCGACTTGGGTGTGGATAACTGTTCGTTATCGCGCTGGGCGTGTTCCAACGGATCCGTCGACTGGAAGAACCTGTCGGCGTCGCAGATTAGGTTTGTACTGGTACAACATTGGGATACATGATCAGGTACCGACACCGGAACCGGAACGGGGCCGGACCCGGCGCCGTCTTCCATTAGGATAATGGCGCCGGGTTCGGCAGCGCCACCCGAACCGCCTCCGCCGCCGACCGGATGCGTGATCATCCCGAAATCCTCTTGGTCCAACGCAAAAAGCGGCGCGTTCCATCGGGCTATCGCGCTAGAACGCGGCGTACCCCTGGACGTCGTCACCCCTGGCGAGTACATACTGAGGTTGGTAGGGCTGATGACGCCAGACATCGCGCCCATCGTCGGGTAGCCGAAAAGCTGCAACAAACATCACCGTTAGACGTCGTGTCGCTCGACCAACAGTGCGCACAACCAACATGTCCCGGCTGCCCGTGGAAGTGATTGAAGGACGAGTAATCCCGGCTCGGCGAATATGGACTACTGGTTGGCGCCACTCCCCTCTGCGATGGCGATTTCCTCCTTTCGTGGCTACCGGGACTCAGAGGAGGCGAAGAACTTATCTCTGGCACTTCGTCCGCCGGCGATGCTTCACTTCCGGGAGGTGTTACACTCGCCGGAGGTGAATTTGTTCCCCCCATCGTAACATCTCCCGTTGACCTGATAATAGCCACGGGTCGCGCCATCGGTGGCAGCGGCGGTGGCGGTAGCATCGTCGACGGAAAGTACTGCGGCTTTGGACTTCTTGAAATATTTGTTTGCATCTGAAACATCGAGCGATTATTATCAATTCTTTAAAATCGCGCACAAGAGAGAGAAAAAGACACGGGCCGCGGTATTTACGCAACCCGTTCGTTTTATTAATAGAGTTTTTCTATTTTGGGAGCGCGAAATTTACTACGGCTTTCCCGGTTGCATTCGCCGGACGTGGCCTAAATATAAACAAACTCACCTGCGCCGTTTGCGAGGTGTTGTCCGTCTCCTGGCAAACGAAGGACACGAAGTCCGAGAGGGAGTCGTGACCATTCTCCGGATACTTGACTTGATTTTGATGTTGATGTTGATGCGTGTCAGGACTGTGCTGATAAAATAACGTGCTCGGACTCGCCGATTGTGAACTCGACGAAACCAACGTTGTATTTTGTGGCATCGCTACAAAAATGTTGAAATACAATTCATTCCGAGAAATATGAAAGCAATAAAAAAGGAGGAAAAGAAAATAAAATTTGTTAAAGTCGGAAAGAGTTGGTTTGGGGAAAATCGGCATTTCGAGTATGTCCCCAATGCGGGGGCATAAATCTCCAACTCCCCCACCCTTCGCCGAGATTCCCCCCAATGCAGGACACCCTAAAATCCGGCGTTCCTGCAGTGCTCATGAATCTTTCCCTTATCGATTTTCTAATGTGACCGTCTAGACAAATAAATACAGTCTCCGTATGGAGAGAAAATTGAAACGAGAATGCGTATAAAATAAAAAAATATACTCACAATAGGCTGCCGAAACTACCATTGGATCAACTGATCCGGCTCTATCTCCAACAACGGGACCCTGTTCAGCGTAACTATTGCAATAATAAGCCGGATGTTCAACCTTCACGCTGTTGATGGTCGGTTGTGGATCCGTTAACTCGTGTAGAATCGACGCTGAAAGAACACGCAAGACTTACCATGGTGAAGGGCCTAAGGCTCGCATCAAGAAAAAAAGATAAGGTGCTTACATTTCGAGAGCTTCCAGAGTTCCTTCGACGAAAAGACCCCAGTTGCTAGAATTATATCGTTACATATCACTCCGTTGTACGGGTTGTGCGTATATCCTGTAACTACCAACCTCGTAAATAACAATAATGATTTCATTGAAAAACGACAACGAAAAAATATACTTTTTTGTAGCAAAAAAATAATAAAACTAACTAAAAAAACAAAGAAAATACCAAGAGAGACACGTACCCTTAGTCTTCCTCTCATCCTCCTTTTTATTGTTGTTGTTGTAACACACCCCACTTAGTATCTCTGAAAAAGACGAGAGAATGCTTTATTCTTTTCAAAGATCGTTAATCATTTCGATCTGTTTACGATTGACCGTTGTTTTTTTGAGAGGGAGAATGAAAATTGCAAACTCATCCACGAATTTGGTGATCTACTTTTGTATTATGATCGATTACTTAAACATGAGTTTAAGAATGGAAAAAATATATAACGGAAATGTTCCAATCATCAAAACCGGACAAATCGTAACAACGCAAACTAATCCCGGCGAGGAATAAAGTAGGGGTCTTAAGTGCGCATTTAGGAGATGCTAAAAATCTCATTAAATTTATAGCAACCGTAGCAAAATTGGATGTGCTCCAACTAGCTAAAATCTTTTAATACTCGCGTGGTGCGAATAATTTCTAGAAAGATCTTTTTTAAGAATGATGAAATAATAATAATAATTATAACAATCTTACCGTGACTATTGATGAAATTGGCTAAGTAAAGATCCAATTCTCTAACAGAAACGTTGATATGGTAGGGATTGACGCAAAGCCCCGGTTGGGAACAATCGGGGTTCTTCTCCAATCGTTCCCCGTCGGTGCTTTCCAAAGGGATAGCCTTGAAGAGGATTACCATGACAAGATCTAGCCTCCAAACTTTGTCGGCTTGTCTCAAACAATCGATCCTCCTCATCTTCCCCTTTTGGTCAGGATTGGACAGGACGCAGACGGCTGGCCTTTTCCCGGTGATGCTCAGGACGAAGTCCTCCCTACACTCCTGGGTGATGTCCTTCCTCAGCTTCCCCAACAGCCTAGAAGCCCATTTCTGCTTCACCTCGGCGCTCTCATTCTGAAACCATTCGTGGGTCTCATCTCCCGGACGTTATCTCCAATTTTTTTTTGACGGATACCTGCAAAGCCTCCTTGCACTGGCGCTCCTCCTCTAGCGACATCCGCTTTTCATGTTTTTTGTAATACTTTCGCTTCGCTGCCTGCAGGTTGAACCATGTGTAAGAAAAAGACTTTACAAAAGGCAGTAGGGCCTCAATGAACGGGTGAAATTCGTCCTGCAATCGAAAAACGTTTCGACGGCTTGTTAGAAGGATTCCAAATCGCGACCAATATCTTCTTACACAGGGAGTATAGAACAGAACGTTTAGAATAAAAGCGAGAAAACAAAAAACACACTGACCAGCTCGTACACACTTATTTACACAGATATTGGAGGGGCTGTGCAAGAAACGCGAATGCCGAGAGCTAAAAAAATAATTTCTTTTATATATATGAATATGTATCTTTTTCTTTTTTGGTTGATTAAGGAAAAATATGACTTGATTTAATTTTAATAAAATAATTAATTTTTGACTATATCTAAAAAGTTTAAAAAAGATAGAATTAAAAAATACATTTAAAAATTGATAAAAAAAATGATAAGAAATAGATATAAAAAAAAAATAGATAATAATTTTCTTTACTTGTATTATATTTTCTGTTCCTGTCTCTGGGGGCTGATAGCGGATAGAACCTGTTACTTCAAACAAGAAATTGGTAAAGAAAATTTAAAATAGATCTTAGTACTTCCTGGAGGCGAAGCGGAATACGAAAACAAAACGGAAAATAAATAAATAAAAAAATGAGGGGTCGTCACTCTAGAATGCAAAAAACTTTTTACTTGTGGGGGGCTATTGGTCACGTAAAACTTCGCATGCACACAACGACTGCATCGCACAGACCAGACGTGAATGAAAATGCATCGCAAACACTGCATTCGAATGCGTTTCCTGAGGTTCAACGAGGTTCAACCCGGGGTTCAAGTCCTCCGATACATGTTCTGCAGTGTATGGATTGTTTTCCTTTTTTTCTTTAAAATTTTTTATTGTTACTTTCGACCCGGAATGCGGATATTTGCGAAAAAGGAACAAATCGAAGGAAAATTCTATAAACTTCTAAGAACTGTGCAATCTAAATAAAAAAAAACAATAAAAGAAAGAAGTCATTTTTTTAAGGATGTTAAGATTTTTGGTTAACTTATTAATCGGAAATGAAAGTAAGCTTTGGGGCTACACTAGACATGCAAAAAAAGCAGCAATAATTTTATTTTCATTAATTTTATTTATTCGGTAATCGAAAATTTTAATTAGGTTCATGCAAAAAGCTTATAATTTATGGTTGTTTTCTTTAGGATTCGAATTTGGAAATGATTTTGGTAATGCATGGAAGTGATGGTATTAGTGATGCGGAACCCAAAGGTCACTTAATTATTTTTAGGTATTTTTATTTTGGAAAGGATTTTTGTAGAAAGAAGATAAATTTGAGTTGTTGATTGAATATGTACGTGTATATAGAGTTAAAAAAGGTAGTTAGCGGAATCCGTAGCAGAGGACAAAAAGGATAAAAGCGTCGCTTTTAGCGTCCGGGTCCTGGTAATCTGACAGCGGCCAACGTCGGCGTCGTTTTAGCAGACGCGGGGCTAGATGTTCGTCTTTAAATTCTTACTTATTTATACACGCGTATTTTTAGCCGCTAGCAAAGGATCGCTCGCTGCTCCTAGCGGCATAGTACCGCAGTGATAGCGATGGCACGGTAAAAACAGAAAGGGAACGATTACGGATAAGGGAAAAAGAAAATTTGAAAGGAATGATGATGTTTTGAGATTAAAAAAAAGATTAAAAGAAATAGAAGATAGATATAGGCACGGGCGGTGCAGCAACGCACAACGTTAAAACTTATAAAATAAAAACTTAAAAACGTACAAAGTACAACGTACAACGATAAATAACGTACAAGAACCAACATCAAATTCAACACCAACGGCGGCTCGGGTGGAGGCGGCCGCGGGCGGCGTCCACCTTCGCCCCCGGACAGAAACACTCATGTTAATCATGTTAATTACATATCACGCCGCGAGGGGATCTAAGGAGGGTGTAGCATCGTTTAGGCACCTGTCCTGTGGACGGGGTTTGAAGGTACGACGACACATCGGGCTCCACCATGCAGCTACGAAGGGTGTCGGGGATGAACATTCCTCAGGGTCACCGTTCGGCGACTGAAGACCGACCCTGTCCCATTACCAAACGGCCGTCCACCTGCGATTGATTTTCAACACTCTGCGCACTGCAGTCCCATCAACTCTCGCATCATCGCCCTCCGCATCACACGTTATTTACACGCTTAACCCTTTTACGCGTTTACGCGATTTTTTACAACACCCTCTCTAGCTCTCTTCTCTTTCTCTCTCTCTCTCTCTCTCTTTTTATCGCCTCCCCTAACCCTTTCCTCGCGACTGATCAACCGACAGACCTTCGTGTACTAAACTACGAGAACTCGTTGGTATTCGAACGCGGCGTCAAGACGTTCCCGGACCCGATGTTGCGCCTTGGTTCGGCGTCGCGACGTCGTTATCTTTTAACTGAAACGAACGCTAATCGTCGTCGACGAGCACTAGCCGCACCATTTTTGTGTGTGTATATGTGCGTGTGTTATGTTCTTCGTGCCGAGCGTCTTCTGGAGGTACTGAAAACGTTTCGCCGCCCGGCGGAGAGCTTGCGCCTGCGACGCTGTGCGTCGACGCGCCGGACCGACGCCTAAACACCACACTCCACATCGCCTCCAATATAACTCCACAATATTTTTCCTTACAAATAATCCATCCTTTAAATTATTTATTTTATTCATTACATCAATATCAACTACATCCTTGTATTTTAAAAAATTTTTCGTTTTTAAAAAAAATTTTAAAATAAACTCTTTTCAAAGTTAGTAAATTAAGTAGTATTTCTCAATAGAAACGTGTTTATGAACCGTTTATGTATATTAAACGATTTTTTTGTAACCTTGGCGCTTATTACCCTTTGTTTTTCTGATTTCTTTATTAATCAATTTCTGCATCGATTAAAAATCATTACAAATTTTTTTTTGTAATTATTAAATTTATGTTTCAGTTAAAAGGAAAATATTTGGGAAAAGAAATAAAAAGAGATAGATAATAGAGAGCCGAACATAGCCGGACCTTGTTTATTTAGAACGTAATATCCAAGCTTAACGATCACAATTCCGATGGATGAGCCGCCGGAGACCGTATCGCGGGTTTATTTATAATTTCTCATTGCTGCGACCAGGTGTCGTCTATAATTGGATTACAAACTGCGGGCTTTACCGGCGACGGGCGTCTCGACGCTCGGGGTCGCTAATTAATCGGAGCGTTGTGCACACGCGCGAATCAGAGGAACGTCGTCCAGTAAACCACATTCAGGATTAAGAATGAAAACGGAAAGAAAAACCTCGAAAATTGATCGATGCACAATGCTATACTCCTACCATTGCAGAATGTCATATATTGTGGTTGACTCACCATACTATAACGCGTATGCTCTATATCTGGCTAAAAAAAATCAAAAAAATACATATATACAGTGTGTTAATTAATTATCGTACATCGTACCCAACGTCATCATTGCAAGTATGCAACCAACATCACAGTATTTATTTTATAACACGCGATTTGCGACATTGGTTGCATACTTGCAATATGCAGGGTGTTTCATAATTTAGAACTTCAGGATGTGATAGCTTGTCCAAAAATTAAAAAAAAAGTTTCTATCAACTTACCCTCTAAAATGCACCATTTTCGAGATACAAGGTGTTGAAATTTAATTTTTCACATTTTCTACTCATAATAAGCAAAGTTTTGTGCGAGGTCAATTTTTTGAAATAAAAATTTTGTTTTACAATTAAACAAAATGTATGTAAACGTTAGAACAAGTAACAAAAGCAAGCGCTCCCATCCTGAAGTCCTGCGCATATATTATAAAATGCAATATTTTTCAGCATAAAATTTTTTTACCTTATATTCATTTATATCAGAATGTAAATCTTCATCAGAATACCCTTTCATAGCTTTAGTAGCAACGGGGCCCATATAATTATTAACAACCGCGAATTCCATTAAAGATAAAAAAACAAAAACCGAGCAACTCGACATCCAAACATCCACGGCTTTAACATAAGAAACCGGCGGTAAAGATTGCTGAGATTGAGTGTTTTGAGTGGCCAGCGTCAATAACGATGTAACCCCCAAAGTAACTCTCGCCGGGATCGCTTCCGGTTTGATCCAAAACGATATCCAAGACATCACGACAATCAAAGCCGACGGGATATACGTGTGGAAAAGGTGATAACCCAATCTTCTACGTAGCGTAAAAACCACGGCTAAACACGTAAAATTTCCTGTTGAGTACTGTATGGTGCAATCGCTGGTGTGATTATTTGCTATATCTAATTGAGGCAGTTCAATTTCGTCGTTTACAACTAAAGGATCGGTTAAATTCCATATAAACACCAAATCTTGTACTGTATGAGACACTACGACAAAAAAAATAACTCAAAAATTAACAAAATTAATTATTTCCTTACAACTTTCAATCATCATCGTACAAACTTGCGTATCATGAGGATAAGATTCAAATTTCATTGCGCATGATAAAACGAGAGTTAACCTTAAAAAATAAGCAAATCATAAACACATTTATTAAATTTTTTTTAAAATACTTAGACATATAAAGTAACGTCTTGTCATGATACAACCATAAATAATGATTAGGGATTGTCATTTCATGAAATGTAACACTTTTGGCGTTTTTAAAGAAACAATCGGGTCTCCAAATATTATGGAGCCAATCTACATCCAAAATTCTATATTCCTCGCTCATATTCTCAGGTAGTCTTAATCGAGGGTCCCTCCAACTTTGTGCAAGAAAAATATCGGTGACGTATGTCTATAAAATAGGCAACGTTTAATTTCCTTTTTAACCGAATTTCATTTTAATAGGAAAATGATTTGTTGAAAGGATTAGAGTACCGAATTTGAAAGGATTCACACTTGCCATTGATTCCTCATTGATCGAGTCCAAGGACAAAACTGTAACATGGAAGTAGACGATCGTTGGTTGACCTTGGAATTTCGGTGCGCGATTTTTATCGTACATTTTCGGTTTTAAAGGGAGAATATCGCGCAAAGACAAACTAACTTCTTCCCTAAGAAACGATTTTTCTTTCAAAATTGACGTATTCCCCGGACTTCCGCTACAATGGGGACTACTATTTGCCCAAAAAAAAAATTTATTTCTATACTCCGTTTCTATAAATTTTCACTAAACTTACTTATGATTGTGATTATGATGCGGTGCTTTACACTCAGCGGTTGTTAGAAAAACGAGAAAAAGAAATATAAACATTGCGAATTATTTTAAATTAAGTTTTTTTGAATTTTTATTACTTCGATTAAAAATGACTGAAATGTCGCGTAACACTCTCAGAGTACTACTGGAGCTATTTTATAGCGAACTACCTCGTTCCTCTGCTCTCTTACGTTTAATTTAATTACTATATAATAGGCTTAGAATAATAGAAGATAGAATCTCTGTAAACAATGGAGTTAATGTTTTGTTTTTGGAATTTTTTATATTTATTTATAAATAAAAAATTGTTTATTAATTATTTTGTTTATTTTTTTTATTAACACAACTACCAATAATATATGATGCGCATTATCAACATAGTTTTCACTAAATATCTGGTGCGATCTGCTTTTTAGTTATTATTTTCATAAATCTCCCTCTTAGAATTTCATCTGTTATTCTGATCAATAGTTGTTGAGAATTAATTAAGAGATTTCAAAACTGAACTCCGAGTGCACTCCGTATTCAAACGATTAAAGCAGCTGACCTTGCGGCTTAATCATATTCCCCGCCTTAAGTTTAGCCGAGGTTGCTTACGGCCAAGGAGCTACAATTAATACTGTAGCAACCCCAACCTGGTTAAGAACACACTACATAAATTCTTTGTATTCAAGTTTAGCCGAGGTCACTTGCGGGCGAGGCTCTATATCAATCCCAACTTAGTTAATAAGATATATTATATAAATTCTTTGACTTCAAGTTTGGCCGAGGTCGCTTGCGGGCGAGGCCCTACATCTTCCCAGCCTTGTTAATAACATATACTATATAAATTTTTTATCTTCAAGTTTAGCCGAGGTCGCTTGTAATTAATACCACATCAATCCTCTGTATATCCCTGTAGTATGTATTACTCAGTTTTAGATCGTTCTCGTCTGCAAGCAACCTCGGTTTCATTAAGCAAAATCTTCTGGTTTTGCATTTAGCCGACATCGCTTTTGATTGAGCCTTTTTAATACAACCAAGCGACCTCAGCTTAATCATAGATTCACCACTCCAAGTATAGCCGAGGTTGCATACATACGACATGCCATGTTGTCACTGAAACGTCAAGGTAACATAGATTAACATATTATTCCCAAAGAAGTCTCACAAAAAATGTTAATATTAATATTTCCAAATTTCGATAATGAATTCTCGAAATCAAACAGTGGGCTTAGAAATTCTACTCGTGAATGAGGGACGATGTAATAATGAAAGTTTCAAAATAACCTTTAATTTAGATGTAACACATTTAAAAATCCGAAGCGCCATCTATTGACTTCTCATGACTTTGTAATAAATATTTTTAATTGAAACTTGTTGATGTTTACTTTATTATTTGATAAAAAATGGATTAATTTTAACCTCAATTAATATTAATAATCGAAGAAAACTTAGTTCTTTAGTATTTTTTTCAATAGATGGCGCTGCATTAATATAAATATCGTAATTTTTATTATTTTGATTGATTTTAACAAATTTTTTAGTAATTTTAAGACAATATATTTTGAAATTAATTTTTTTGGTTTTTAGATGAAATTTATATTTTAAGTAGTGGGGGTAATACAACAGATATTTCAATATACCCAAACAAAACGATTTTCAAGAACTTTCTTTTTCAACAAAGATCTAATACTAATCTTCGTTTATTTATTGAATCAATTTTATTTATTGTTTATTAGTTAAATTCATAAACTGAAATTGTCCAGATATACGTATATAGCCTTGATGATATAAGAACTAATTTCACATCAATCACCCGCTAGTTCAGCGACATCTGGCATATAAAATAACAGTAACTCACGTAGTGTTTAACGCATTGTGATAAATTTTTCGATGTAATTATTTTATACTATTTACACTCGAGACGCGAATGATGGAGGACGTGAACGAATTTAATCACCGGGCCAAAAAACGTATCAAGGAGGTTAAGAAGAAAGCTAGGCCAGGTTAGTAAAAAAATGTAACCTAAAATATCGCTATATCAATAAAAAAAAACAAATCTATTTATCCCCTTTTCGGTGCAATTAGAACTTAACACCAAGGAGTCTTGGACCCAACATCGCTATGCTGACGATTTCGAACAGTACTGGGAATTCGAAGACAACTGCCCAAGGATCACTGAATCTCTTTGCTCCATCAGGGAGTTCATTTCAAACTTCGAGCTACCCTCGAAACCCGTCGTTATTCTGGGCTGCCAAGATACATGGCAAGCAAAAAGGAAATGGACCCTCGAGAAACTCGCCAAGAAATATAGGAATCAAAAATTCAAGTGTGGGGAGGATAACGAAGGTTATAGCGTCAAAATGAAAATGAAATATTATATACATTATATGCTCAAGACTAAAGATGATAGCCCATTGTATATTTTTGATAGCAATTTTGGTGAAGTAAGTATATAATAAGTATACTTATAATAATATAAGTATATAATAAGTATACACTAAATATGTTTATTTTTTTTTAAATTAATATTTAGCATGAACGTCGTAGAAAACTTTTATTAGACTATGAAGTTCCTATTTATTTTCGAGATGATCTGTTCAAATACACTGGTGAAAACAAGCGTCCACCATATCGTTGGTTTGTAATGGGTCCAGCTCGTTCAGGAACAGGAATTCACATAGACCCCTTAGGAACAAGCGCATGGAACGCGCTTATAACCGGTCATAAACGGTGAGTTAAAACTGTTTTCAAAACAGCAAACCAATAAAAAATTTTATTACCCTAGCTTTTACGCCCACATTCCGGTTTCCATTTCTCTCATTCAAAACCGATCCCTAGCTGATTAGTACAGGTGTTATCTGAAGAAATACAAGAGCCTTTGTTATGACTAAACCAACTATTATTAAAGCTTTTATTATTAAAAGCCTGTGATATGTGATTGAATCATTGAAATGAATAATTCCTTAGAATGTTATCTGAAACAATAAAATTTTATGGGTAATTTTAATAGTTGGCCTTTATAACCAGCTAATATTCCAAAGATGTTTATTAAAAGTAGTTGGCGAAACGTGAGTTATAAATCTTGTTTTGCAAAATTAAAAATCATAACCATTTTTTTTCTTAAAAATTAAAATTTAGCCTTATCACATTTTTCAGAACAGTATTAAGTACTGGGAATACGCTGATATGATTTAAATAACCATTGATTAATAATATGCATAAATCGTTGCGGATTTCTTATCGCCAAGTTTAATAAAAAAAATGTGATTCACTTAATTAGGTTATGTTTCATGTTGCAACAATTCCAGAAGGACGATAAACCGCTTCGATTGTCCCTAATTAGCGAAAGCCTCGCGTAACGTATTGCGGCATCTTAAATATTTATGTATCAAGAATGAGATTAGAATCAGCAGAATTAAGTTCTTAATTTCATTATTACAAGATGTATTTAAGCTTAATACATCTAAAAAAATAAAATTCTCATTCAAGAATACTAGATACTGCTTGAACAAGATTCTACAATGAATGAAGAGCGTATTGTTTGAAGAACGCCAGATGTTTTTCTAGAAAACTTAATACTACTTGAAGATGACTAAATACTGCTTCACTACTTGTTTTTCAGAACGAATTATTGAGACAGAGAGGAGCTAGGATGATGGTGGTCTAGATACTATTTGTAAAAACCAAGATTCTGCTTATGGAAGACTAAATACTGCTTATATAAGGCTAGATGCTACTTACTGTCGCTTAGACTCTACTATCAGAAGCCTAAATTCTGCTTTTAGAAGTCTAAATTCAGGACGATTGACAATAAAGTAGATACTGCTGAAAACAAAAGTAGTTGATGCTTACAGTTTCCTAGAATCTGCTTGCAGAAGCTTGGATGTTGCTTCTAGAGATAGAATCCAGGCTTCCAGAATCCAAGCTGCTAGAAGACAAGATTCTGCTTGCAGAAGTCTAAATTTTGGCTGAAAAAGCCGCGATAATGCATCCAGAAGCTTAGATATTGCTAATAGACGACTAAATACTGCTTGGAGATGGCTAGAAAATGCAGAAACCTAGATTCTACTTGATTTTGCTTGCAGAATAGACACTGCCTTAAAAAAGATTATATACTATTCGAAGAAAACTATATACTGCTTGGTCAAGACTAAATTCTCATTGCAGAAGTCTTACTTTTTTTAAAGAGACCAATTTTTTTTTGCAGAAATCTTTCTATTTGCAGTAAACTGAGAATGAATGTCCTTCCCAACATGGGTGTACGTAATCCACACTATGATGTGGATGATAAAATGGGGTTTAATAATTAATCATTATCTTTTATTCATTAACTATCTATCTGTTTTTATGAAATTAATTAAGAAAAAAAAAACTAAAAATATTGTTTTTTTGCAGTTGGTGTTTATTTCCAACAAATACTCCAAAAGAATTATTAAAAGTAACTGGTATAATGGGAGGTAAACAAAGAGATGAGGCAATAACTTGGTTTAATTTGATTTATCCACAAACGAAAGAACCATCATGGCCGGATGATTGTAAACCAATAGAAATCTTACAAAAACCGGGTGAAACGGTTTTTGTCCCTGGCGGTTGGTGGCACGTCGTTTTAAATTTAGATACGACAATTGCAGTCACTCAAAACTTTTGTAGTCGTACGAATTTCCCGGTTGTTTGGCACAAAACGGCACGTGGGCGTCCGAAACTTTCTCAAAAATGGTTGAAGATGCTGCGGGAAAAAGAGCCACGTTTGGCGATGTTGGCTGATAGAGTTAATTTAGAAGAACCATCGGGGGTGGCTTCAGATAGTTCGAGTAATTCGTCGAGTTCTAGTTCGGACACCGAAAATGGGGGTGGATCGAATTCGGAAAATGATGACAGCGGCCAAGAATCGTTAACGGCGAAAAAGAAAAGGAGGAAATCGGATTCAGATTCCGGTAGAAATCGTAAGGCGGTTCGGAGATACGTAAGTGATGGTGAAAACGTAGTAGGAGATGCTGATTGTGTTCGTTCATAGAGTAACGATTCGGCGATGTCCTGGGTAAACGATCAACGCACCACGTCTGCATCGCCGCAATGCGCTGAAATCAACTCGACCACGGGTTCGTAAGTATCTGGTGTACAAAAAAATTTAAAGATCCTTGTTCCAAGATTTCCTCCCTTATTCCCATATAGTTACCAACGGCCCCTCCTTGAAAACTTTTATATTTTCTTACTTTTGCAAGTGTACATGAGATACAAGAACACCTTTTTTAATATTTATATGGAAAAATTATACATATACATATATTATATATATTTAAAGAAAAATGAAAAGTATTTTAATAATATGAATAGCCTAATTGTTGGCACGCCCAAAAAAGATTTTTTTTGGCGTGTTTAGGGAAAAAATTAATTTTATTTGATCGTTTGTTATCCATTTATTATTATTATCTACTATTGATTACTTAATTAATTTGGTTGTTAGATTTTTTGTTTGTTATTGGCCCCTTTTGTCCCGCTCACAACTCTTCCACTAACACCTCATCACATATTCGCATCCTTCCCTCCCTTAGACAAATTTTCTTTTATATAATGTGATCTACGATAGTGCCTAAATTTGTACGAAAAATAAAAAGAATCGTATCCTATAGTTGACAAGACTTACAGTCGCGTAATAGATTTCGGGCGGCAGTATCCCGTTGTTGTGCCAATCAGGACCATTTTTTTTTAGATAAATCTTATTAATTTTATTTTGGTCCCATCGTGTTAACCGCCGCCCGAAGCCTGTTCGCTATCAAGCAGGGATAACTTAATTTTCAATCAATAAAAAGTATTATATTATTTAAGCTAGGAACTAAGGATAGGAGGAAAACGAAAGGAAAATTAACCACATATATGTGTGCCTTTTTGCCTTCGTAGAACTTTATAAAATAAAACTGTATAAACAAAAATTATTGCTTTTTTCTTTCATCCCAACCTTGAATACTTAGTTTAATTTAATGGTAATAATAATAAATAGTTTGATAATAATAGTTAATAGTATTAGTAATAGGTAATTGATTAAATAATAGTTTGATTTAATGTCTTGGACAGTAAAACTCACTTCGCCGATGTCGCTTGCGGGCGAGGCGCTAGAATCTTCCAAAACTGACGATTTCGTGTTAATATATGAAGTCCCGCGCCTCGTCCGCAAGCGACCTCGACGATGTTCGATATCATTCACTTAATGTCTTGGAAGTAAACCAAGCACAAGGCAGTAGCTTCTAAAGATAAATAAATTAAAGTGTTATGTGCTTGATGAGTTAATGATATCACAAAATTGAGTATACAGGAGAATGGAAGATAGATAATTGTGAATATTTCAAATAATTATTAATTTATTTTAAAGTTTGTGATATATATATATATTAACAGCAATCTTATTAACTAATTTGAATACAAAATAATCCAGTTTTCCAAATAAAATAATCACAATATTAATAATAATGACAAATGATATGAAATGCACGTCACAAAATTGAGTGTACAGTAAAGGAAAAGTGAATAACTTTAGGTGTTTTGCGTTTTAAAATATCCAAATAACTAAATTTTGTCATATTTGCCTCAATAAACTCCATAGTTCCGACGCCGCTGGCTGCCATTGATCCCCACAGCGTTACTGAACCATCCCCATGTTTTATTGGTGACGTTATGTTAATGTTAGTAAAGTGGTAACACAGTAATTCGAGGTATACACTAAAAATAATTGATTATTATTATAAATTCTTTTTTCGTAGTGAATTTCGTATCACTTACTGTGGGGATATGCTGTGCGGGTCCGTGGCAGCCAGCGTTGGAACTGTAGTTTATTGAGGGAAATATGATAAAATTTTGTTATTATTTAGATATTTTAAATCGTAATTTACGTCAAAGTTCCTAAAGAGTCAACCTTCCGACTGTGTTCTGGTTCCAACAAGATGATAATCCCGATGATACATTATACCTTATGAAGAAATGGTTATTATACAATACTTCAAAACAACTAAAAACACTACCACAGTCTCCGGATATGAATCCTATTGAACATTTATGGAGAAAAGTCAGGTTTCAGTTAAAAAATAGCAAGTGTCGAAACAAAAGCGAATTAAAAAATTAAATTTGTAAAATTTGAGATAGAATCTCGCCAAACTAAACCAAAAAGACAATTGATGCCAATGGAGGGCTTACAACTTATCAAAACATAATACTAAACTAAACTTATTCACTTTGCCTTAACTTTATACTCAATTTTGTGGCGTGAATTTCGTCATTTTTTATTATTGTTATTATTTTATTCGGAAAACTGGATTATTTTGAATTCAAATTAGTTAATAAGATTGTTATTAATACATATACAGGGTGATTCGCATAAGAACCGACACAGAGCAGGGACATCTAGAAGACAATAAATTAAGATGATTTAACGCAACTTATCTCTATACGAAGTTGTACCCCTGAGGAGTTATAGGCCTTCAAAGTTAGGTCTTAAATTTTTAAAACATTGAATATCTTCGTAATACATTAAGCTAGAAAAACCAAATTTGGCATACATTATGAGTGTACCGAGGGTATTGATTAGTAGCAAGTTGAAACCAATTGAAGCATTTCAAAGGGTTGATTAGGGATGATAGTACCCTAAATTTTGATAGATTTTTTTAACCTTTTGGTGGATTTAATACATTATTACCTCATTTCATGTGGAATTTAATTCTAAAACTTTTTTTACTCTTATTATTTTTTAAAAGACATTGTCGTTTTCATAAAAAACTCAAATAACTAAAGACACGTATTTCGTTAATGCTACCTAAAATCATCGAAAATTCAGTAGTCGGCTGTGAAATTGACAAATAGGTTATAAAACCTTGTCGTCAATTAACTTTATAACCTATTTGTGAAGTTTGACGTACAATTTCATAGCCGACTACTGAATTTTCGCTTATTTTAAGTAACATTACGAAATACATGTCTTTAGTTATTTAAGTTTTTTACGAAAACGACAAAGTTTTTTAAAAAATAATAAGAGTAGGAAAAGTTTTAGAATTAAATTCCACATGAAATGAAGTAGTAATGTATTAAATCCGCCAAAAGGTTAAAAAAATCTGTCAAAATTTAGGGTATCATCACCCTTAATCAACCCTTTGAAATGCCTCAATTGAGTTCAATTTGCTATCAATTAATACCCTTGGTACACTCAAAACGTATACCAAATCAGGTTTTTCTAGCTTAATGTATTACGAAGATATTGAACTTTTTAAAAATTTAAGACCCAACTTTGAAGGCCTATAACTCCTCAGGTGTACAACTTAGTATAGAGGTAAGTTACGTTAAATCATCTTAATTTATTGTCCTCTACATGTCCCTGCTCTGTGTCGGTTCTTATGTGAATCACCCTGTATATCACAAACTTTAACCCTTTGTGACCCGACGGTACTTTAAAGTACCAGTACGTTTTTTATACATATCATTTTAAAGAGAAAGCTTTGAGCTTTAATTTAGAACAAGTTTCATTCCTTAATTTCAATAAATACGGCTTCCAGGAATTTTTAAATTAGCATTTTTTTGACACTTTTCGTTTATACGAAAATGTAAGTTTTGTTTCAACATTTTTTTTCTCAATATTTTTCCAATCCAACTCAACAATTATTATACATCATTTTAAAGAGAAAGCTTTGAGCTTTAATTTAGAACAAGTCTCATTCCTTAATTTCAATAAATACGGCTTCCAGGAATTTTTAAATTAGCTTCTTTTTTGACAGTTTTAGATTATACGAAAATGTAAGTTTTGTTTCAAGATTTTTTTTTCTTAATATTTTTCCGAGCCAACCCAACGATTATTATAGATCATTTTAAAAAGAAAGCTTTGAACTTTAATTTAGAACAAATCTCATTCTTTATTTCAATAAATACGGCTTTCAGGAATTTTTAAATTAGCATATTTTTTGACTTTTCGGTTATACGAAAATGTAAGTTTTGTTTCAACATCTCTTTTCTCAATATTTTTCCAATCCAACCCAACAATTATTATACATCATTTTAAAGAAAAAGTTTTGAGCTTTAATTTAGAACAAGTCTTATTCCTTAATTTCAATAAATACGGCTTCCAGTAATTTTTAAATTAGCAGCTTTTTTCACACTTTTAGGTTATACAAAAATGTAAGTTTTGTTTCCATTTTTTTTTTCAATATTTTTCCAAGCCAACCCAACGATTATTATACATCGATTTAAACAGAAAGCTTTAAGCGTCAATTTAAAATAAGTTTCATTTCTTAATTTGAATAAACACGGCTTCCAGAAAATTTTGAATTAGCATCTTTTTGACACTTACATTATGCGAAAATGTTAGTTTTTGCTCAATATGTTTTTTCTGAATATTCTATCAGATTTTCGTCGTTCTGTAGCTACAGGACTGATAAATAAATATTCAAATTTACTGCGTCCACGAAAATGTCGTAGCGCAGAAAGAGGAAGTTGTGAAAATTGTTCTGCCAAAGCTAGACCCCACTCAAAATGTACTGCGTGCAATGTTTACTTAGGTTGTAATGAAAAAAGAACTCTTTTTCTGAATATCATAATGTGATTTAGCTAAAGCAAGTGTTACTTATTAGTAATGAAAGTTTTTCACAAAGTTTCAAAATTTTTAACTTCTTGGGACACAAAGGGTTAAAATAAATTAATAATTATTTGAAATTTTCACAATTATCTATCTTCCATTCCGCTGTATACTCAATTTTGTGAGCAACTGTATATTATCACGAGATCGTCAGTTTTCTAGAAGATTCTAGCAAAGATTCAAATGAGGAAAAACGGTTTTTTTATTAGCATTCGTAGTATATAGTGGAACGTGGCGCCACCATTATTATTAATAATAAAATAAAATTTAAAAATATTATGAAGTTTAATTATAAAAGAAATATACCACTTAATTGTATAAAGTTGTATCACAGCAATACATAAAAAGAAAATCATTAATAGGGAGAAATCTGTCAACGTAGAAACCCTATATTACCGGCTTATTTGTTAGTATTGTAACGGACCGTTAAAATTTTGTTCCAGAGCGCGCGTAAAGTACTTCTGCTTGCTTCTGCTCACTTCTGCTACTTTCGTCCTCAACATAAACAGAACGGAACGTAAATATTTACATTCCTAGCGTTCAGCTTAACATTGACGAAGAAATTGTAAATGTGGTTCAAATGGACACCTATTTGAACACGGTTAACTTTGAGGACGACGACGACGTTCCGCAGAACCGCACTAAAGATTCTCAGAAAAAGCAGCGGTACCAAGATGATGAAAGGAGACTGATGGCTGGTTTTTCTGCTTTGGATGGTTCTCCTGTTAACGTGTACAATTGGCAAGCGAAATCTACGATGGCTGACCGTTTAGATATACTTTTGTTTAACACTTTGATGTCCATGTCTGATGTGACTTTTATCGTTGGGGTTTTTTTATACTATCGATAAGCAGTTCGGTGTTCTAGTTTGTATGTTCTATAGTAACTTATCGAATGAAGCGAAAGATATCGAGCTTCCAGATGTTGAACCCGTTGCTTTTAAAAACTTATTAAAACATATTTATTTAGACAATGCCTTCATTGGGCCAGAGAACGTTATGACAACTTTGTACACTGCCAAGAAGTATTCGTTACCAAAATTAGAAAAGCATTGTGTTGAGTTTTTAGAATGTAACTTATGTAGCGAGAACGCCTTTTTATTACTATCTCAAGCTCGATTATTTGATGAATCACAATTAGTTTTAAATTGTCTCGATGTGATTGATAAGAAAACGCAAGATTCGCTTGATTCGGAAGGCTTCTTAGACATAGATTTTGACACTTTACTGTGTGTACTGCAAAGAGATACGCTTAGAATCCGAGAGATTCGTTTGTACGAAGCCGTAAAACGTTGGGCTGACGCACAATGTCGTAGAAAAAATTTAGAAATAACCAATGAAAATCGCAACGCAATTTTAGGACCATGCATTAATCTTCTAAGATATCCCTTAATGAGTGTTGAAGAATTCGCATCCGGTCCGGCACAAAGTGGATTTTTAACAGATGCTCAAATCGTCCAATTATTTTTATACTTTACTTTAAATCCAAAACCAGCGACGGAATTCTCAGAAACCCCTCGATGTTGTATGATGGGACGCGAATGCGTTGCCAACAGATTTGTTGATGTGGAGAGCCGATGGGGTTACAACGGAACCAGCGATAGAATCCGGTTTCAAGTTGATAAAAGAATTTTCATTGCCGGATTAGGTTTGTATGGTTCCGTTCATGGACCATCAGAATATGATGTCACCATACAAATTCTTCATACGCATACCGCTAAAGTAGTTGGATTTAATAAAACTAAATTCAATTCGGATGGATCTAGTCGCACATTTCGAGTCATGTTCAAAGAACCAGTTGAGATTATGCCTAATACTAGTTATATCGCGATAGCTACGTTGAAAGTAAGTTTTTTTATTTCAAAAAAGATGTATTTGTTATTATTATTTTTTGTTTAAGGGAAATGATTCTTATTATGGCACAAAAGGATTAAGAAAAGTGATGTTACAATGTAGTAAAGGTGAAAGAGTTATTTTTCAATTTTCCTATGCCGCGGGAAATAATAATGGTTCATCTGTTGAAGATGGACAAATTCCAGAGTTTATTTTTTATACATAAATTGTGATGGTAAATTTATGTCGTATTATTTTAACCATATCGCTGGATGTTTTGGTATCAAACTACACTTGCATGAATCAAAAGTATTTATATTTAATAGCAATATATTTAAGGTTATTGTATTACAATAGTTTTCCTCTAAATCATGGGATGTAAAAAAAGCAATAATTTTTGTTTATACAGTTTTATTTTATAAAGTTCTACAAGGCACACATATATGTGATTAATTTTCCTTTCATTTTCCTCCTATTCTTATTTATACGGTGTTTTGATATTGTGTGCACTGCAGAGGATAAACTAAATATTCAAAATGTTAAAAAAAATGATATCATCTCATATTGTCGAGATCGCTTAGAATTGATATCATAGCTTCTAAATTCAAAATATCATTGAGTTTAGGTTTGTATTTGTGATGTATATGTTTGTATGTTGAATGGGTAATTTTGTGCCTCGCCCGCAAGCGACGATGATATGAGAAGTAAACCAAGCACATAACATTTTAATTTATTCTCACCCCGCCGAGGTCGCTTGCGGGCGAGGCGCTGGAGCTGATACATCATAAATACAAACCTCTACTCAATGAAATTTTGCATTTAGAAGCTATGATATACTAGATATACTATATTAGAAGCTATGACTTACCAATGAGCTTTAGCACCAATGCCCTATTGTACGCAGATGATCTGAAGTTGTTTACTACTATTGGTAGTGAACAGGATTGCATTTCACTTCAGTTGGACTTAAATAAACTCTATTCGTGGTGTACTACTAATAGATTGATTCTGAATACTTCCAAATGTCAGGTAATGATATATAGCCAGAAACGTAACACCATCAATTTTGATTATGAACTTGGGACTGACTGCCTATCGCGCATTTCTGTGGTGAGGGATCTCGGTGTATGGTTCGACACTGGTTTGTCTTTCAATGTACATGTTGACAAGACGTCGACGAACGCCCTCAGAACACTTGGATTTATAACGAGAAATAGTTTGGAATTTGCTCATATAAACACAATAATAAAACTCTACTTTACACTCGTAAGAAGCAAACTTGAATATTGCTGTATTGTTTGGTCACCATCTTATTTAAGGTACATCACCACCATCGAGAGGGTACAACGTAAATTTGTTAGATTCATGCATTTCCTGGACTTTGGTCATTATCCGCCTCGAGGGGAATTGAACTATCCCTATCTCTCACATCGTTATGGACTCCAGAGCCTTGAAGACAGAAGGAAGTGTATGTCAGCAAGATTTGTTCGGGATGTGATGTCGGGTGTTTTGTCGCAATTGAATATAAAAGTTCCGAGGTTTGGTGCTCGTGACTTTAATGTTTTTACTACTAATCGCGGTCACACAAATATTGGACTAAATTCCCCATTCAACAAATTAATGCGAGCTGCTAATACGACCGAATGTGTATCATTCTTCGATGTTTAACTTAGCAGTTTGTTAAATTGTTGCTATTTGATTTTTCATTGAATATGTTTTCTTTCTTTTTCTTTTTGTTTGTATATATTTACTTCTTATTATGTCAATTAATGTACGTTCTTAGGCTTAATTATGTTGTTTATAATATTATCTCTCTTATTGGAAAACAAATTTCTGTTGGGATAATAAAGTTATTATTATTATTATTATATCAATTCCACTGTCTCGCCCGCAAGAGACCTCGGCAATATGAGATGATACCGTTTCTTTTAATGTCTTGGTCCGTAAACCTCACTTCGCCGAGGATTCTTGCGGGCGAGGCGCTAGAATCTTCTAAAACTGACGATTTCGTGTTAATATATGAAGTCTCGCGCTTCGCCTGTAAGCGACCTCGGCGACGTTCGATGATATCATTAACTTGATGTCTTGGAAGTAACCTAAGCACATAACACTTTAATTTATTCTCATCCCGCCGAGGTCGACACATCATAAATACAAACCTCAACTCAATGAAATTTTGCATTTAGAAGCTACGATATCAATTCCACTGCCTCGCNTTCTCGATATTTATGCATCTGAGAGCAAAAGTGAAAGAAAGCAATATTGTTAAGAATGTAATTTGCTACAACTTTTCTTCTAAAAGTTTTTTTATAATATGCTCCGTTTCCCGAGCGTTACCATTAACAACTTGAAAAAGTAACAAATTCATCCAATTTTTGTATTTTTCTCGATATTGACGCATCTGAGAGCAAAAGTGAAAGAGAGCAATATTGTTAAGAATGAAATTTGCTACAACTTTTTTTCTAAAAGTTTTTTTATAACATGCTCCGATTCCCAAGTATTGTTCATCTCACCAAGTATTATGAGCAACTTGTAAAAGTAAGAATTCGGCAAGAATTCATATTTTCGTATTTTATTTATTTAAAGTCGAGATATCTGTTGTGACAACTAAAATCAAACACTTTATAACCAGAACAAAAGCCTTATTCAGTACATTACGAAACACCATTTAGATATTCTAAACAATGAAAGTAGGACAAAGACAAAGATGAGCAACACAATTTCAATCTTTACTTTTATTGCAGAAAAAATCCAAAAACGTTTGCATTCGATCATTGTTTTTATTCGGTCGACCCCCACAGGGAAGATTACGCATCTCAAGAGGTAGTGTTTGAATGTCTTGGTAGGGACATTTTAGACAATGCATTCCAAGGTTATAACGCTTGCATTTTTGCCTACGGCCAAACTGGTAAACAAAAAAATTAATTCCCAAATCGAAAACGTAACATTTTTAATTATCTTAGGTTCTGGTAAATCGTACACGATGATGGGTTCGCAAGATAAAAACGGGATTATCCCGCGATTATGCGATTCCCTATTTGAGTTGATCTCACAAAAACAAAATTCTGAATTGACGTATAAAGTGGAAGTGAGCTATATGGAGATATATAACGAGAAAGTTCACGATTTACTCGACCCGAAAACAAATAAACAATCACTAAAGGTGCGCGAACACAACGTATTAGGACCCTACGTTGATGGGCTCTCACAATTGGCTGTAACGTCATTCAAAGACATTGAAACTTTAATGGCCGAGGGTAATAAGTCTCGAACGGTTGCTTCGACGAACATGAACAGCGAATCGTCTCGATCTCACGCCGTTTTTACGGTCATTTTAACGCAAACTTTAACCGACGTCAAAACTGGCGTTTCCGGCGAAAAACAAAGCCGACTCTCGTTAGTCGATTTAGCCGGATCGGAAAGGGCTGTGAAAACTGGCGCGGTGGGCGAACGATTAAAAGAAGGCTCAAACATAAATAAATCATTAACAACCTTGGGACTAGTTATATCCAAATTAGCCGATCAAGCTACGTCTACGAAAAATCGAGACAAATTCGTACCCTATCGCGATTCCGTGTTAACGTGGCTCTTAAAAGACAACTTGGGAGGTAACAGCAAAACCGTTATGGTCGCCACCATATCCCCCGCTGCCGATAATTACGAAGAAACATTATCTACCTTAAGATACGCAGATAGAGCTAAAAGAATCGTTAATCACGCCGTGGTTAACGAAGATCCTAATGCTCGCATTATCAGGGAATTACAAGAGGAAGTTGCTGCTTTAAAAGAAATGTTGAAACATGCTACAGTAAGTTAGTAGTGTTAAATAAGTTAATCAATAATGATTTTTTTTATTTGCCAGGGTTCTCCTGTAGAAGACATTCAAAGAGTAAATATTCATCAAAAACTAAGCGAAAGTGAAAAACTTTACAAAGAGATGTCTCAAACCTGGGAAGAAAAATTAATGAAAACAGAACGGATACAAAACGAAAGACAACAAACTCTAGAAAAAATGGGAATAAGCATTCAAGATTCGGGTATAAAGGTGGAAAAAAATAAATTTTATCTAGTTAATTTAAATGCTGATCCATCCCTAAATGAATTATTAGTTTATTATTTAAAAGAAAGAACCGTCGTTGGAGCTACCGGACGTGGAGCTGAAGGTGAACCGGACATCCAACTTTCTGGGTTAGGAATTCAACCGGAACATTGTTTAATTACCATAGAAGATGGATTAGTTTTTATGGAACCGTTTTCCAACGCTCGATCGTACATAAATGGTTCCCAAATTGTTAAAAAAACGCAATTAAGACACGGCGATCGAATCGTTTGGGGTAATCACCATTTCTTTAGGGTGAATTGTCCCAAATCGATTGTTTCAACATCGGAGCCGCAAACTCCAGCCCAAAATATCGATTATAATTTTGCGCGCGACGAATTAATGTTAAACGAATTAAGTAATGATCCGATTCAAGCGGCGATTTCGCGGTTGGAAAAACAACACGAAGAAGATAAACAAGTTGCGTTGGAGAAACAGCGCCAAGAATACGAACGACAATTTCAACAGTTAAGAAACATCATGTCTCCATCAACTCCATATCCGCCGTATTCTTATGACCCCCTTCGATTCGGTAAGAATACACCATGCACACCAACGACTCAAATGCGCGTTGAAAAATGGGCGCAAGAACGAGACGAAACGTTTAGAAGAAGTATTAACGAATTGAAATCGGGAATTTTAAAAGCAAACGCTTTGGTACAAGAAGCTAATGTTCTCGCAGAAGAAATGGATTTGTACGCGAAATTTAGTGTCACTTTACAAATTCCGCCGGCTAATTTAAGCCCGAATAGAAAGAAAGGTGCGTTTGTAAGTGAACCGGCTATTTTGGTGAAACGCGAGAACTTTGCGAGCCAAATATGGAACATGGAAAAGTTGGAGAATAAATTAATCGATATGCGGGAAATGTATGATGAGCAAAAAGACAAAGATAATAGTCTTAAAGATTCCATTTTACAATCTCAAGCTTATAAATTGAACGATTTGTTTGAGTCCCAAGAAAATCATAATCTTATTGGTGTTGCTAATGTGTTCTTGGAGTGTCTTTTTGCGGACGTCGTTTTGGATTATCACACACCGATTATTAGTCAACAGGGTGAAGTTTCTGGGAGATTACAGGTAATTTATTTAGTTGCGTTAGTTATTATATATTATTTTTCCACTTTTAGGTGGAATTAAGTAGGATATCGGGAATATTACCGCAAGATCGAGATGGCGAAGCTGCATCAAACACCTCTGATCTTGCATCAAGCGAAGAAGACGATGATACATCAGAATCATCGGAAATAACAGTCCGCGTACACATTAAACAAGCATCCGGTTTGCCATTATCGTTATCAAATTTTGTTTATTGTCAGTACACGTTTTGGAACGATAGACAGTCTGAACCCATAGTGTTACCCCCTCTGGAACCGGAACCTCACTCCGGAAATGCTTTACGCGGCCATAAAGATTCAATGACGTTCAAATTTGATCACATCAAAGAATTTACTGTACCTATAACCGAAGAATTTTTAGAACATTGTACTGAAGGTGCTTTATCGATCGAAGTGTGGGGACATCGCAGTCCGGGATTTTCCAGGAGTAAACCTGGGTGGGAAGTTGAGCAACTCACCGAACAAAAATTAACGAAAGCCCGCTCGTTAGCGGATCGTTGGTCGGAATTAACAAGAAAAATTGAATTATGGGTTGAAATACAAGAATTGAACGATATTGGTGAATACGTACCGGTTGAAGTGAGCAATAAAGGCGATGTTTTAACCGGTGGGGTTTATCAATTACGTCAAGGCCAACAGCGCAGAATCCAAGTCCGCGTTAAACCGGTTCAAAATTCCGGAACACTTCCGATTATTTGTCAAACGATTTTAAAGATTGAAGTTGGTAGTATAACAGTTAGATCGCGTTTACAAAAGCCATTAGATTCGTATCAAGAGGAAGACTTGACGGTTTTGCGCGAAAAATGGAGCGACGCTTTAAAACGGCGTAAAGATTATTTGGATCAACAAATAAAAAAGTTGTTGGATAAATCCGACAAATCCGAGCAAGATAAAGAAAGGGAACAAAGTCTTGTCGATCAATGGATTAGTTTAACCGAGGAACGAAACGCGGTTCTTGTTCCAACACCCGGTTCCGGAATTCCTGGCGCACCAGCCATTTGGAATCCACCCGCGGGAATGGAACCCTACGTCCCGGTTTTATTCCTCGACTTAAACGCCGACGATTTAACAACCAACCAATCAGGCGAATCCGTTTCGACAACCGGAAAAAACTCGATCCTTTCCAAGGAAATGGGCAACATGTTCTACCCACTACACATATTACAACATTTAGAAAAAGACGTTTGCGCCGTCGCATCGTGGGATTCATCAATACACGATAACGTACATCTCAACAAAGTCACGGACGCCAACGATCGCGTTTATTTGATTTTGAGAATAACAATTCGTCTATCGCATCCCGCCCCTATGGAGTTAGTACTTCGAAAAAGAATCGCTTTAAATATTTATAAGCGACAAAGTATTACGGATCGATTAAAACGGAGAATTATTCGCACGGATGTTATTACGCATACGGGTGTTACGTATGAATTAGTTTCTAACATTCCAAAAGCGAGTGAAGAACTTGAAGATCGAGAATCTTTAGCGCAATTAGTTGCTTCTGGAGAAGATACTTCTTTAGAAGATGGTGAAACATATATTGGTAAGATTATTAATACATATGGAAAAATTTCGGGGTTTTTCTTGAAATAAGATAGCTAGCGANGCGCCTCGCCCGCAAGCGACCTCGGCGAAGTGAGAGTAAATTAACATGTTGTATGTTCGGTTTGCTTTCCAAGATATCAAATGAACAATATATATGATATCGCCGAGGTTGCTTGCGGGCGAGGCGCTGTATATAAATTATATAAACATAAAGCTAATGTCAACAATCGGTTCTAGCGCCTCGCCCTCAAGCGACCTCGGCGGAATGAGGATGAACGATTTCTCACGTTTGGTTTACTTTCCAAGAACGATATCTTTGAACACCGCCGAGGTCGCTTGCGGGCGAGGCGCTGGAGCTGGTACATCATAAATACAAACCTCGAGTATTTCTTATTGTGATTCTTCTCGTGATTTTTTTACAACATTAATTAATTATAAATAAATTAGAAGAGTTTTAAACGAATCGTAATTAATCGATTAAATTAGATTATGATAAATCAACCACGAGTTTGTAATGATCTGGCAACAAAGCCAAATAATATAACAATGTATCCCCAGAGAAAAAATAAAGAGTCACATAATCCCGAGAAATAAAACTGTTATAGAATGGTAACCTTTGCTAAAAATAAGAAAAATTCCAGATTTGCGTAAATAATGGCTAATTTTAAAACATAGTTGAAGGTCTTTTCGTAAAAAACACTTTTCCTACCAAATTTTTAAGATGAGAATTTAATTTAAACAGAATTTATTAATATTATTTAATTAATTTTATTGTAACTAAATTATAGTTAATCTAAACTTAATTTTTATCGAGTTTTTCACGAATTCTTATTGAAATTGCGTCGTTCCGATCATCTTTTTGGCACCGTTTCAAGGCGCTATTTTTGAAACTGCGTGCGTTAATGTCAATAGTTGTTCGGATTGTTGCACCTCGACGTTATGGCGTAAAATTAGTGATGTTACTCATTCATTTTCATTAAGACATGTGGATTAGATCGTAGCGTCTTAGTCTTGTCAGGGTGTTGTTGAGAAGATGTGGCGCGATAGTGTTTATAGTGTAAGAAAAGTTTCGAAACATTTTTGATTTTTAAAACATTTTTGTTTGTGATGATTTAGGGCACGTTGAGACCAGCATCTCAAACGGTCATCACTGGGAAATACTTAAATGATCTCGTGGATACTTTAACATGTACTGTTCGATCAAACCCGATAACGAGTGTTTCCAATATCCATTCGGTTAATAAAATCGATAAGGGTCTTTATTTGGGTGATAAGTGAGTATGATTTTTTTTTAATTTTAAATCAAATTTTTTGTGTTGTGTGTATGATTAGATATGCAGCGAAAGATAGGAAATTCTTGGTGAATAATGGTTTTACGCACGTGTTAAATTGCGCGGAAGGAGCCGACGAATATCAAGTGAATACAAATGAGATGTATTACAAACATTTTGGAATTAAGTATATGGGAATACCCGGGCACGATCGGCCGTCTTGGGACATATCTGTGTATTTTGAAAGGGCTGCTCGTTTTATAGAAAGCGCAATCGCTTCGGGGGGGAGGGTTCTCGTGCATTGTGTTGTAGGCATCTCTCGTTCTGCCACAATTGTGATTGCTTACATGATGATTTGCAAGCAAATGGATGCTGCGACCGCTTTGAATTATGTTTTTAATCAAAGAAGGGTTTGGCCTAACGCTGGGTTTTTGCACCACCTCGCGCAGTTAAATAATGTCTTATTTAGGCGGAAATCGTTAGCTTTAACTAAAGTTTATTATTAAGTTTGATACAAAATAAATTTATTTTTTAAGCGATGTGATTTTATTGCGCCCCAAATTTAAATGAGGACAATGTCAAGACGTTCTTAGTCGACCTAAATTTCAACTTAAGATGAGAAAAATAAAAGGAGGTGAAGAAGTAATTTCTTTTTATTATTTTATTGAAAGTGATGCGAAGCAAGAAGTGTGACTCAGCCGATGATGAGTCACGCGACTCGAAAAGAAGTTTTTTTTATAAATTATTGAATTTTAATGTAAGTGCCGCGCACGAAATGGTGTGTAGATGCGCGCGCATCTAATTCCAATACCCGAAAGTACCCGGAATTACCCGAACGCCGTCATCGCCATCTCTACATTACAACATTTACAACCAATGTTCAAAATTGAACCAGAATAGAAATCTACTTGCGGATTTGAACAGCAATAACCAAATCGAAAATCGATTTTGCAGCTTGGTTTTTCTTTATTAAAACTGAAGTTGTTACTGATGAAACGCGCGAACGTCGCGAATAGAGGAGGTAAACCCTATCGTTGAAGACAGAGGGGTTTGCGCAGCTTCGAAGCGTTCTCGGCGCATTGTCCGATATTCTCTCAACTCTGTATTGTGGAAACATGGCGAAGTTGGTGCGTGTTGTTGTGACAGCCAACGAGTCCAACGAGTAGATCGCACTCGACTATGTTCGATAATGGATAGGCACACGACGGATTACAACGACGACGCTGTGTGACGTGCCCTGTGACTGTGATCACCGTTCTTGTGGCCCCTTTTTTTCTTTTTGAAAAAACTTGGAGGGACGAAAATGTCGACGGATAAGATTAAAGTTGCGGTACGAGTCCGTCCTTTCAGCAGGAGAGGTAAGACACAAAAAAAATCTTTGTACCTCTTAAAATAAATACCCACAATGCTATTGTCAATAAAAAGTTTTATGTTTTAATTAAACATCGTGAATAAAACAAATGAGTCGGGAACATATGACGATCGCCAATATTAGAAATATATAGTTCATTTTATCGACGTTATCAAATACATCTGTCAAAGTCGATACATAGTATTTTCACCTTGACTCTAACATTTACTGTTTTAATTAGACAAATTGAACATGAAGGCGCGGCGACACCGTGTTCATATTAGTATATGTTTGATTAGCTAATAACGCACCACCTCTTAAATTGCCCCCTCTTTGCGTTTTAACACGCACAATGATCTCAAGGGACAATAACAAACAATATGTTCTAGCACAACTAAGTCAACATCCATGACAAATATTTAACCCCTTCAAATCCGTTTTAATCATTACTAGAATTTGACTAATTGATTATCTTTTCGCTTATCTCATAAACGTGATTTAAGTTTATTATTTTTTGGCGGGCTATACTTCATAATTATATTGTAGAACTGGAGCTGGGAACGGAATGCATCGTGGAAATGGAAAAGCAGCAAACTATTTTGCAACATCCCTCGTCACTGGATAAAATGGAAAGGTAAAATTCATTTATTCTGAAATCACGGTTATATTTTGAAATGATTTAAAAGACCTTGAGTAACAATTGGAAAAAGAATTTTTTTATAATCAGACTTTTTTTAATTTTATAACTATAAATTACTTTATTATTACTTAACGTTTAAGTAATAAATTTTAATAATTACTCAATCAATTTCAACTTTTTAGATTATCAAATTTGATAAAATTTTTATATATTCATTTATATCATTGAAGTTATTTTAATAACTTTTTACATTTTTTATCACACTTGATAATAATTACCGGAAATAACTTTGATAATAACTTTAAAAAAAGAAATTTTATAACACAGTGTTTGATTTTAGCTGTCACAGCAGATGTCTTGGTTATTGTTGGAGATGCGACAAAATGTTGTAGAAGAATAATTAATACTTTATTATCGGATATATTCTTGAAAATTGATACAGCGAATACATTTAAAATTTTTAATGCAACATGTCCAATTTTATTAAAAAATTAAGTTAAAACTATAAAAAAATCTGGTTACAACAATATTATTTGGAGTAGAAAACTACACATTCATCTAATTTTCATATTTTCTCGATATTTATGCATCTGAGAGGAAAAGTGAAAGAGAGCAATATTATTAAGAATGAAAATTGCTACAACTTTTGGTCTAAAAGTTTTTTAATAACATGCTCCGTTTCCCGAGCGTTACCATTAACAACTTGAAAAAGTAACAAATTCATCCAATTTTCATATTTTTGTATTTTTCTCGATATTGACGCANAGTTGCTTCTGGAGAAGATACTTCTTTAGAAGATGGTGAAACATATATTGGTAAGATTATTAATACATATGGAAAAATTTCGGGGTTTTTCTTGAAATAAGATAGCTAGCGATAAATTTTAAGATCTCGGTTGCCCCAAGTATTGTTCATAACGCGGCGGCGGATGTCGATTCGGAGTGTACTACAAAAAAACTTTTGGAACAAAAGTTGTGGCAAATTTTATTCTTAACAATATTACTCTCTTTCACTTTTGCTCTCAGATGCGTAAATATTGAGAAAAATACGAAAATTTGCTAAATTCGTAGTTTTACAAGTTGTTAATGTTATCACTCGAGATTTGGAGCGTCACCAAGTCTACCCTGATTGAAATTTATGGAAGAAATAAACTCGGCCGACTTCGAAGACGTCGGCCGCCCTAAATATTGTTCATGATACTTGGGTTGGCCACCATAATACTTATGGTTTGTGATAATTGGGGCGGCCGACGTCTTCGAAGTCGGCCGAGATTATTTTTTCCATAAACTTCAAACAGGATAGACTTGGTTTCATGCTTCGAATCCCGAGTGACACCATTAACAAGTTTCTGGAAGAAATAATCTCGGCCGACTTCGAAGACGTTGGCCGCCCTAAATATTGTTTATGACACTTGGATTGGCCACCATAAGTATTGTTCCTGATACTTGGGTTGGCGACCATAATACTTATGGTTTGTGATACTTGGGGCGGCCGACGTCTTCGAAGTCGGCCGAGATTATTTTTTCCATAAACTTCAAACTGGGTAGACTTGGTTTTACGCTTCGAATCCCGAGTGACACCATTAACAAGTTTCTGGAAGAAATAATCTCGGCCGACTTCGAAGACGTCGGCCGCCCTAAATATTGTTTTTGACACTTGGGTTGGCCGCCATAAGTATTGTTCCTGATACTTGGGTTGGCCGCCATAATACTTATGGTTTGTGATACTTGGTGCGGCCGACATTTTCGAAGTCGGCCGAGATATTTCTTCTATAAACTTCAAGCAGGGAAGAAAATTTTCATATTTACATATTTTTAGCTTACGTTACCAAGTCTACTCAGCTTGAAGTTTATGAAACAAAGAGTTCAAAGACATATCTTAAATGTATTTTTTATTAATATTTAAATTAAAATTGTTTTAATAGAAAAATATACAAGAGGAGTGAGTGCAGTTGAAAGCATCTTATCACTGGATAGGTTGCGACAGAGTGTAGCAGTGAAGGAACTTCAACAAGCTAAAGGACAACCGCTGATGAGGAAAACGGCAAGCGTACCAAACTTTTCTCACGTAAGCGTTTTATTTATATTTAAAAAAAAATAGTGGCATTATCATCCATACTATGATGTCATTGTTTCTCTCTGTCGTTATTGCATCCCAGGCGTTGGAGAACAAGAACGGGGTAAAAATGCTTTCTATGTCTCTCTAACTCCAAGCTCGATTTCTCTGTTTTTTTAATATAAAAAAAGATTTGAAAAAACTTTGATAACCCTTTCATAACGGGTATTGAAAATAACACGGTGTTGTGTTTTTTTTGTGTTGTGCAGTTCATGCGGATGGACATGAGCACGGAATCACTAAACATATCACGATCGGAGAGCGTCAATGAATTGAATAGCGACATTTTGGGCAACACGACACCGTTACGACCACGCACAGGTGGCGCTTTAGGTACGTACCAAAATATCGGCGGCGGTCGATTTTTTTTTTAGTTAAAAAGAATTTCCACTTAGAATAGACAATGAGCGTTTTTTTAGAATAGGGGATCTGAATAACTACGATTCACTACGAACACAGTTTGAAGGATAGTCAGCTTTCGATTATTATATTTACATCACGACGTCTTCCTCTACATCTTATTACATGTTTATCACTTGTCTTGTAATTGTGTTTTATTTATTTGTTTTATTTGATCTCGTACATTGACGACTCATCCTAGCTTTACTAATTTGTTATTCTAAATTTTTCTGCAAACCACAAGGCTCCATTCTTTCAGGTAAAATGGAGGCTTGCAATTACTAAGATTGCGACTTATACGTATGTATCGTTATAGTACTTAAACAAATTTATGGTACTATAATGCGCATATGTATATATCTATATATATATATATATATGACTGAATTGAATAGGTGGAAACCGCTGTTTTTTTATTTTTGAAATCGGTTTATGTGTAAAAATCAAATGTGGTGTGTATTGACACAATTTTAGGGTGGTTTTTTATACCTGAAATTGTGCCTTTCTGCTTGGTTTATATTTGATATTTATTGCACATTTCGTGCCTGATACAAATTATTTGCAATATCAGATATATTTCTAAGCTAAACGAAATGGTCTGGTCGCTTCTCGCCGCAGTCACCAAGTCATTTCACGAGTTATTGTTAGTTTCGTTCGTGTAGAAATGGCATGAGACATTTTTGAATGCTCCTCACCCCACCCCCTTTCGTACCACAATTTTTATTATATTTTATAGCTTTCCCCACTTATTTTTTTTGCGATGAAGTCACAGAGACTTTTAGAAGTAACATAGCACCAAATAGTTATTTAGAACTTGTAATGTGGTTGATTTTTTGAATAGAAATTGCATTGTGGCCTGTTTTTAAAAGAAATTATTTATTGTAATGCATTTAAATGAAAGTGTGGATACAACCATAACCAAATAATCTGCATGAGATGAACGTACACGGATGGTATATGAAGAAATTGAAATTTAAAAATTTAAATTTATTATTGATATTTCTTCAAATACTGTTTGAATGTACAAGGTCTCTTTGACTTCACGTTGAATTGAAAGTGTCACGTTCCACTCCCATCGCTCTACGTATTACGAGAGTTCGAGATATGTTTTCTACCTGCGATGAAAAAAGTTAAATAAAAAAGAACACAATGTGTGGTACCTGTTTGTATATATTTGCCATTTTCCGGTGCTTCACTGCCGCTCGTCTAAAATAATTTTAATATTTCAGCCCGGCCGACGTTCCTAAATCTGAATTTGAATCTGAACTCGCTGCGTATACAGCAGCCTACAGGAACAACAAAACGTATGTTTCCGCATGAGATTTTTCGTGTATTTTTCCGTTTATTATTATTTTATAGTATAGCTCTTTTTACCGGGAAGAACCAGAGATATTATTTTTTTGTTTTATTTATTATTCTATTTTATTTGTTATTTATATTATTTTAATTTGTAGTTTTTTCCGGGATGGTATCCCCAGCTAATCAAAAAATTGGTTTGCGGATGACCACGCTTCATGAAGAGCAAGTCCCATTACCAAGAAAACATTCTTTGGATCTCATCGCAGACGAAAGCTCCGAGACTGAAGATAACGAAAGTCAGGAATTTACAAGTTATCAGCGTTCGGTAAATAAAAAATTATAATTATTGATAATAATTAATCATTATTGGATGAATTAGCATCGTAGTGCAAAATCAACACAAGAAGGACGTCGCTCGATGACAACTTCGCGCACTTTAGACTCGTTGGTAGAGTTGGCACCGAAAATAACAGGTACCCCAAGCACAAGTTCCAGTGGTTATGGTTCCCAAACTGTCTCATCTAGCAATTTGACTCTTGATGATTCGATGTCTTTGAAGAGTGTGAGCGTTGATAACACCCCGGATTTTGAAATGCGCCACACCGCCGTCAACTTGGAGTCCGTTACGGAAGTCTCCGATCGAATCCCCTCGGATCCCGATTTATTTGAAAGCTCCATTAATGAGGAACCATCGTCGGATGGCTCTTTCCAAGCGATGAATGGGAATTATAACAACGTTACGGAGGAGACTAATGCGCAAGTTGGTGGAGGGGTTGTTAAAGTGAATTTGTCACCTGGAAGGGTAGTCCGGAGGGTGAAGAAAAACGGCAAAGGTATAGGTACTAATCAACAGAGGGCGTCTTTTCCCCAGATCCGTCCGCAATTAACTGATCAAGAAAGTGTGTTAAGTGAAGACAGTTTTCACAGCTCAAACGATAAAATAGAAGGTAAATAAAAAAAAATTATTAAAAAAAAAATTAATTTTAACCATAAAAATAGATGTTGGTGATAATAATTTTGGTTCCCGTCCCGATCTCACAAAACTAGCCGATGTACCAGTTCCCGAGTGGGTGGTAGTCGGCGAAAGTATCCTAATTCGTCCTTACAACTCGTCCGGAGTCGTTGCATACATTGGAGAAACGGAATTCGCTAATGGCACGTGGGTCGGCGTCGAATTAGACGCCCCGAAAGGAAAAAATGATGGCACCGTGCAAGGTGTTAAGTATTTCACGTGCAAACCAAAACATGGCATGTTTGTTCGAGCCGATAAATTGATCCTCGATCGCAGAGGTCGACCCATGAGGATGTATAAATCTGAAAGTATTAATAACGGAAAACAAAACAGTAAAGGTAAAAATTAATTAACAAGATTATTTAATTATCGTCTTTAATTAATATTATATTAATTGATTAAAGGTGAAACGTTACCAAGATCAAAATCTAGAAGTGACGGCCTCCACACAAAGTTGAAATAAATATAATTAATTAAAAAAATCCACGATATCCGCCCCTCTAAAGAAATCATGCACACTCACATAAACACCACCCCTCCTTAACGTATGTAGTATACGCCGTCCATCAAAGAGTCCATTGTCAAAAAAAGAAAAATGTCCAAGCGTACGAGGTCTGTATTCCGTTTGCTCTCCGCTTTATTCGCTGCTAAAGCTTGGAAGAGATAAAACCTTAAAGATGGTTTTGTCTCGAAACATCGATGTGCTTAGGATAGGAAGCTTTTTGTAAATAAACGTGAGGACGACGTGCACGCGCCAATTTCATCGCCTCCATCATCCCCCTCGTCCCAAAAAATCCCTTCCCTTATAATAATAAAATTTTAAAAAATACCTAGAAGAGTCGTTTACGGTTCCGTTCATTTACTTCGTTTTTACTGTAAGACTTAACGCATGCAATTTTACCTCTAGTCTGACGTTTCGTTGTTTGCTCAGTAACTTTTAGAATTTTTTCGTTTTTTGTCGTATTTTACGGCTTTCGTCGCCGCGAGTGGTAGTGAGATAGATGTATCTTAACAAAAATGGAAAAAAAATCTTGTTTCAGTGGATTTCTCTCAGCGTTTTTAGTAGCCTCGTAATTCACATTGACGTGTATGTAAATCTATTTATGATACAAAGCATATACATATAAATATATATATATATATAAATAAAAAATGAATAAATATAAATATTAATCGTATTGTAATTGATAAACGATGCAACATATTGATCAAGTGTTCGCAAAGGGTCGTTTTTATAATTTTTTTTTGTATTTTTTGTTACCAATTCGATCACTCTCCACACACGCTTGAGACTACTGAATAAAAAAATAATCTTTCTTAGCAATAATCGAAAAACAAGGAATAATATCAGATATATCAAATTGATCGATACGTGTATATAAGTGAATTTAACGATTGGCAATTTTTCTGTATATGTACTTACTATTTTGCTCTGAATGTTGCCGTTTTAGTATTCTTTTTATTTTACTCACGATTAAAAAAAAATAAAATTAAGGTAAATTTCGCTTTTACCATTAAAAAAAGGGTGCTTATATTTATGTAGCGTTTAATGTAAATCTTTAATGTAAATATATTTTATATTTTACACTTTACATTTATACTTATTTTACGTAACTTATTACTATTTCGCAACTTAATAAACTCGTTGTTGTATACCAGTTGTACTATTCATAGTCAATTTGTATATGTTGTTGTTTATTTTCTAATTATTTTTTAAAACGATTATTAATTATTAATTAAATTATGTGACAAACTAGCGTAAAAAAAGTTCTGTCGTATTTTGTAGCAGTGGTACTATGAGCAATTAAATGAAAAAGGCAGTTAAATATTTTAAAAATATTTGTTTTATTTTATCCTTAACAGTCTTATCCCTCAAAATAAATCAACATTTTTTTCAAACATAATTTATTCATTACAAAAGTGAATCAACAAAAAAATAAACTTTTAATAACATTAATACTTATTGAGCAACTTTATCATAAACTTTATGGTTCAAAACTTCTTGAATGACTTCTATCAGCGTCGGTAGTTAACGAAACGGAGCAAATCAAAACGTTTAATTGTTCCGTTGATGGACAAGCGATTAAGAGTTGATCATCAGTCGTATATTTAGCGGTTGTAATGATCTGTTCGACTTGAAGAAAACAATTCAAAACGTTATTTTTAATCGGCTTGAATAAAATAAATTCGGTTTCTCTATTAGCCAAATACAACCGCATAGCTTTTTGAATGTCGGGTATTTTCGTTTTTAATAAACGCGAAGTCCCGGAAATAATTTCGGATAAATTCTTTGGACGCCCAAACTCCTGCTCTCTCAGTGATGCTTGAGAATTAGTCTGGGCGTTGATTATTGAAAGGACGTGTTCGGCGCGTTTAATCCACACCAATAAGTCGCCTATTAAAAGTTCGGTTGCGTTGGAAATGAAGACTTCGCAAGCCAATTTTAATTGTTTATCGATTTCTTTACGAGAATCGACCAAATATTCTTTTACTTTCGGCGTACCTTCCAAAAGAAACTCTAATAACGCATTGTTGCTACTCAAAGCAAATAATTTATCCCGTTTTTGTATCAAACCGACAGCCGCCGTTTTTACGCCGCTAAAATCTAAGCTCATTTCTTTCGATGTAAAATCAACTTGGAATGGTGCGATTTGTTCGCGAATGATTAATAAATGCTTTATGTGAAATAATTTGCCATCCATTACAGTCTACAAAAAAAAAATTAATTAAAATTTATTTAAAAATATTTTAATTTTACTTTTCTTGCTGATATCTTATCGGCTGCGCTCTCAACGGTTTTTGTACAAATTAATAAAGCTTCTTGAGCTAAACCTTGAAAAATTTCTTTGTCTAAACAGAAATATAGTCTTGATAAACAAACTAAGGTTCGTTTTACGGTTGGGTACCACATTCCGTGAAGATCAGCGGGGGAATCTATTAATAAATTAAGTTAATTAAAAAAAAAATTAATTTTTTAAACCTACTCCCAGTGTACGATCGAAATTGTCCCGTATAATTCCCAGTAACATTGGCGCGATCACATAAATCAACAGAAACAGTAGACATTCTCGATTCAGTTCGTCTTTCGGCAATTTCGTCGGTGATGTCTTCCATTTCTTTTAATTTCTCGGGATAGGCTAGATCTCCGGGTGAAGGTTCGTATTTTATTAAATCATGTTGAAAGAAAATATTTGTACGAAACACCAAACGTTCTTCAACATCATGTACTAATTGCATTATTATTTCAACTAATTGATCCATCGAATCTTAAATAATCACAAAAATAAAATTAATTAATCTGAAACAAAAATATACTCACTGTTGCTTTGAATTTGGTCATTAACCATCTGTTTCAAGATTGTACATAACTCGGTGAGCACTTCTAAATGATGGACATTAATTAAACAAGGACGGAGAACATCATATAAATTTTGGCACAACATTACAAGATATTCGCTAAAAATTATTAATAATTATTATTATTAAAAAGTTACATAAAGTTATATTTACTCTAATTGAGTTGAAGATCCTTTAAAAAAGTATCGAAAACATGTTGCTTCATCTTGACAGATTTTTATGATGAATAAAACCGCGGATCGGAATAAAATGCTGTGATCATTTTTGTGTTTTTCTTTCAAATCTAACAACGCTACCGATACTGCACCCGACATTATTGCAGAACGTTGAGCAAAATACGATTTTTGACAATCCCAAAGAGTTCTATTGTACCTGTAATTTATTAATTACAATTAAATTGTACTTTTTTAATAACTTTTTCAGGTTCCACTATTTCTAAAGGTTTGAAATTTTGGTAACATGGGTTTTTTATTCAGAACTTTCGATCTAAAATATTTTCACGATGATCGCCACTTCCGGTCAACCGGAAGTAGACCATAACTTCGTTATTTTAAATGGAATGCTATAGTTTTTATTGCACCTTTTAATTGTACGTAAAAAAATATGTTGACTTTCATAAAAGTTATTGGTACCTAGCGATTTTCGTTTTCGAGTTATTTTGGTTTTAAGATTTTTTGGCAAATTTCACCATGCTCTTTAAAATCCCATATCTCAGCCAACGTTCATTCAAAAGAGCTGTAAGTTGGCACGATTACTCTGTTGTATTAGAGTATCTTATACAGGTAATCAAAAATTGAATTACTGTTTCTCTGTATTGAATGGCGAGGAAGTAGAAAATTTTAAATGGAACGCCTAATATTTTTTTAGCCTATCAGAAAGAGAATTTAATTCTCTACGCATTATCTATAATCATTCCTATACCTACTTATTGTAGTTTCCCTCATATTGGTAAATTTATCAAAACATGCACGGAATCAGTTACAACTGTACGAATAGTGGAACCTGAAAATGCTTACATTTTATTATTTTCTGCGTTTTCTTCAATATATTTAGTGATTTTTGAAAGTTTTCCGGCAGCATTTTCAAATTTCCCATAATAAAATGCAAACGCGGAGTCTAAACTAACATCGACATCTGTACTAACATTCAACAAATTTTTATTTTCGTTTCCATGGAGTTGGCTAGCTTCGGAAACGTGTTGATCAAAAACTTTCAACACATTTTGTAAAGCGACAACCAATAAATTTTCGTATTTCAATTTGAAATTGTAAGTTTCTTTAAATTTTGACTAAAAATTAATTCATTAAAACATACAGGGCGTTTCTAAATTCATGCGAAATATTTCAAGGAGTAGAACTTTTAATATATACAACTTTTTCTTCAAAACTCCTTCCCTACCGAGTTACAGCACTCTAAAGTTAGGGGAAAAAATGGTTTTTGTTTAATAAATCCGCTATGGAGGAATTAAGAATGAAATTTGGCAGATAACTTGCTAATAAAATGACACTTAAAATGATACCAGAAAATGTTATTACAAAGGAGTGAAAAAATCAACCCCTATAATATTTTAAAAACTTGATTGTAATAGAAGGATTTAGTACGCAACTTTTTTGCCTCTTAACTTTTTCTCCTAAAATTGTTAGTTTGATCACAAAAAAATTAAATAATAAGGCTCAAGTGAATTAATTCAGAGATTGGTTATTATTAGTCAAAGAAATGAAGTTAACTAACAATTTGTTAGTTGTAAAATGCCAAGAGATAAGAAAGTTGCAGATTTAAAGTTCTATAACTTGGATGAGAAGGGGTTTTGAACAAAAAGTTATATGAGACAATTAATTTTTCATGGTTGTGAATAAAAATTCTTACATAATTCTCTAAATATCTTAAAGCATTATCAATCTGTTCTAAAACATGTATAAATTCAACACTATTCACATTATTAGCTAACATTTCGACGCCATTACTTAATCCAGGGTATGCTATAAAATATTTCAGCTTTTCTTCAACATCAATAGATTTTTGTTTTAACTCTGCTTGGCAAGTCATTAATTCTTCACTTAAAACATGCAAAGATTCTGTTTTTGCAACAACACGTTCATGACGCAACCCCAAATCATTTAAACTTTCCAAAACATTTTCAGTTTTTTGTAATAATTCGTTACATTGTTTCGCCTGAATGTTTAACCCACTAAAATAAACGAGTAAGTCGCGTTGACTTTCATCTTGCATTTCATTTTCAATGTCGACCATCCAGGAAATAAAATCATTGTTGGTTTCAATGTTCTTTTTACCAGTTGGGGTAATCTATACATAAATATAAATAAGGATTAAGATATTGATTAAGTTTTATGAAAAAGCTTACATCTTCAGTTGGTTGTTGATAATATAATTGTTTAACAACATCTTCCATTTGATATAAAATATCCCATTGGGAATCTGTTAATGGGGCTAAAGGATTTTCAGCATCTTGCCACTTGGCGATATTTTTTTGTATTATTTGTTCGAGTGAAACGTCGGCATTTTCGTTTAGTTCCATGTTAAAATCAGCTTTGTTTATGTGATAATGTGATATTACTGATATTATCTATACACACATCTATATCATTCTATATTAAGAATATAGATGGCGCGAATTACATGGAAATCAGCGTTGCCAACCTATTCCGACCAAATGTTGGTAAATACAAATGTCGGTTTAAATACAAAGTCAGAAAATGTTGTTTGGTAGAAGTTAATAAATGAATTTATACATATACAGGTCATCTTCCGCATCAGAACATTAAAATTTGAAAAATTTGTTTATTTTTTAAGATATTAAGGTAACGTTTGGGAATCGGAGTATGTTATAAAAAAACTTTTATAACAAAAATTGTTGCAAATTTTATTGTTAACAATATTACTCTCTTGCACTTTTGCTCTTAGATACGTCAATATCGAGATAGATATGAAAATTTTATGAATTTGTTGATCTTTCAAGTTATTAAAGGTAACAGTTGAGAATCGGAACTTGCTATAAGAAAACTTTTACAACAAAAATTGTTGCAAATTTTATTGTTAACAATATTGCTTTATTGCACTTTTGCTATTAGATGCGTCAATATCGAGATAGATACAAAAATATGAAAATTGTATGAATTTGTAGCTCTTTCAAGTTATTAAAGGTAACACTTGAGAATCGGAACTTGCTATAAGAAAACTTTTATAACAAAAATTGTTGCAAATTTTATTGTTAACAATATTGCTTT